TTTGATGAAAGAGCAACCCATCCACTCCAGTAGGCGAGGAACACGCCTATCTGCAGCAGATAGGGCTTCTTCTGTGAGAGACACGCCCGTCCACATCAGGGACAGGAACAGCATATAGGACTTTCGCTCGGGATTTGTGGCCACTCCTTCGGTGATCGGGTTTAGAAATGCACAGCAACGAAGACAGACTGCACAGCAACGAAGTTTCACACAGTCAAATTTCGATCAAACTTGCTACCACCACTGAAAAAGCTCCAAACTGCGATCAAATTTGGAGCTTTTGTTTCCCCAATCAACCTGGATCTCTTTGCTTCGATCAAAGAAAACTAAATCGCTCTGAAGGTGTTTTTACTTTGAAGGAAGCAGCAAAAGAAGCAAAAAGAAGAAGAAGAAGAAGAGAAGAAGAGAAGAAGCAGAAGTCCAGCGATTTGCACTTCACTTTGTTTGTTTCTTGGTCTTGCCAGGCTGCCAGCTGCCGCCGCTGTTCAGCCCCGCCGCGCCACATCGCGCGCACCAACCCCGACCTCACCCAATATTTTGGTATTTCAACGACCTAATCCGTATTTCAATTTTGAAATAGCGAATTACGACCCAACGACCTATGAAATATAATTCAGCCAGATAATATCCCACCAGCTGTGGTGTTTTGTCATGTTTTGTCCAATTACAACCAACCTAGACCACCCAAATGTACACCATACTGCACTATGGAGGGTGTCTACGACGAAGTTTCGCAGCTGCGCCCCGCGCAGTCGCTGGCAGGTCGGGGCCAAAGAAGCCGACGAACGGTCCGGTTGGTCCGGTCGCAGCACGCGACTCGACTCGATTGCGGCGATGTGGCCGGCGAAAAGGGGCGTTTCACGCGGCACAGATGTTCCGTCACTGAAAATCACAAAGACAGAAGCAGTCTCAATGGGTGTTCTTTTATTCGAGCATGAAAACCCCTCGAAACGGGTAATTAGGGTAAGGTACACTCTACCAAACTCTTCAGGGGTTCACCTTGCTACAGCACAGTGGCATGATATCATTCTGCTATATAGACTATATAATAGTTGACACGTCAACCAGAAGCCAGTTCTATGTGACTCCAACATATATACCTAAGTATACCAGGACCCTCAAGGGGTCTCTATAAACAGGTTCTTAAAGGTTAAGGGGGTTCTCAATACCACCTGTTGAAGGTCCTGGTATGGGATGTTGCTTATGTCCATCTTCGTTAGGCCATTGAGAGGTGACCTGCCCATCTTGGGCAGGTCTTCCGCGTCCACGGGGCGTGTTTCTCCAGGTGGACACTGATGAATCCCAGACCATCCATCTATGGAATAGTTAATAAATGTTCCCCATGTAGGACCCCAATGTAACGTAAAAAACTCAGAAATATATATACTTACATAATATATATATATAAATGGAGTGTTTGATAAATGGTCTCTCAAATGGAAGACAAGACGTTTGGACATCCCTTTCTATATATTGTTTACACGTGCAGTTAGTTTACGGCTTCGCAGCGCATTTACGCTTCGCCAGACTTGGGAGGCCACACTGCATGCAGAACTATGTTGACATGCACAAGGATTCAGATGTTCCAACAACTCCAGACACCACTCAACCTCAACCTCCAAAAACAAGAGAACAGTGACCATCCCATCTACCATCATCGGCTCAACGGAAAGAAAGGACATAGATGGCATCATCTTGCACTTGCACTTGTGTACCTGAATCACTTCACACACTTCCCTTTGTCACTCCACTACGCACTGAGCTTCTTTTCTTTCGTCGGCAAGAAACAGCTGTGAAATTTCCTTTGCCTTGGTCGCAGCGGCGGTTTCCGCCGGTTTTTCCTGTCGCCATGTCGAGCTGCTTCAGCTGTTTCTCGGGCATGACCCGGTCGCAGACCTCCAAGGACCTGGGGAAGGCGGTCGCAGAGCACGGAGAGCACCGAGCCAGTTCTTCAGCGATGGTAAGAAGTTGAGATGTAGCAGCAGATTTCACGTGATTTAACGCTATATATATATATACTTAACTTATATGTATGTTCATTATTTATAGATGTTTGTAGTATCTTAAGTACAATGATCAATGCGCTTGCACGAGCTTCTCCTTGGCAGTGCTTAATATCTGGTTGACGGAAGAGAGTGGGCATTCTTGTGTATATATTATATACATATAATATTGGATATTGGTTGTTTCATTTGGTACAAGCTGCGTTGGAGCTCGTGGGGAGTTTCTCAACTCCTTGGGGAGTAGCAAGTGTTTCAGCCAGCAAGTGTTGGGATGATTTGTAAGACGTCTTAGGCCCAATCAGGATGGGGTCTGAACAAGGTAGATGATCTCGATGTGTGACGTCGTTTGTGACGTAGCGACGTAGTGAATCGTAGTGACGTAGTGCAGCCGTACCCCAAAAGGTAGCCGCCTTTTGCCCTAACAAAGAGACCAAATATACTGGTCTATTAGCTAGTGTTCAGGACAAACATAAGAAAAATAACAGAAGAACAAAAACCGGATGTTCAGGTGGTGATCCATTTGAGAACCATCCTGATTGAATTCAATAGCCAGGAATACCGTTCAGATCCGTTCAGTGGCCAATTCGGAGATTGAGGAGTGTTTTGCTCTCTTATCCAGGTGGAAAGTTTGGTGAACTTATACTTTCCAGCGAAAAAGGAGCATTAAACCCGTTAACTGGATTCCGACGGATTACCATGTTGCCTAATTCCACTTGATGCATCGCATCCTTCGGCCCCATATGTTTCGACAGACCTTTGGGTCTGTCGGACCTGCCATGGTTGGACCCTGTGTGGGGGGGGGTCGCAACAGGGTTGACCCCCCAAACACGTCATAACACGTCCAATCGTCAATCCTGACAGGTCCAGTGTTCTTTCATGGTTGAAATTGGTTGAACCAAGTCTAGTCCAGTGGTTGGTGTTAAAACACGAGGACAAACCGTGAAAGGTGAAGCTTCACTACTTCAATGTCTTTGCCAAGGGCCCTGCGATCGCTCTGGCGCTCCACCATGGGCCCCACGGACCGAACCGACGAACCGTGTGGTTCTCACGGGGTGCACCGGCAACGGAGGGGGAGTGTTCAGGGGGTCCCAGTCTATTTGGAAGCCTGTGCGGAATACGAGTGTTTCTTTCGCATGAAAATACATCCAGCAACACGTCTTCCTGCAACACGTCGCATGTGTTGTTGATGGATCTTGAGCCCCTTGGAGCCATTTCGAAGGGTTCAAGGGCGCCGAGGAAGCGAGGCTATTCTCATTGTGAAAGAGTTGTATGTTGTATATTATGAACTGTATGAACATTAAAAGGTGAAAGCAAGTTCTCAAGCGTTGTTTCCCCTCTCTATATAATTCTTTCTCTGTCTCTCTCTCTTTCTTCACTCCTTTCAGCCATCAACAATAACACTCACTGATCTCAGATGGTCATCAAAGAACTTCGAGTGTCAACCAGCGCGGATTCCACATGCATCATCTTATTTGTTGTGTTCCTTTCACGGTATGGAGACACCATGAGACACAACTCGAGACGGCCGAGCGGAAAAGCAAACGAAATGCAACTCGAGTTGCGACGTTGTGAGGAACTTGGACTGGGAAGGCGAATTTCCCAGTGCCTGGAAGGACATGATGCTTGGCCCCGCTCGGACTTGGTCTGGTCGGTAGCGAACCGGAGCGTCCTAACGTAAGACCAGGAGCGCCCCCGTTCCGTCCGAACGTGAAAGAACGTAGAAGTGCCCTTGTTCCTAGTAGCTTCTTGTTCCTATTTGGGTGCGGGGTGATGTTCGACGGCCCAAAATCGTGGTGAAGCATGATGGTCCAAGCTCACTCGATGTTACATGGCGACATGCAATTTGGTCGTCAATTTGGTGGAAGCGATTTGGGTCCTGAGAGGAGCCGATCAGCCACGGCGGGTCCAAACGAAGGGCGACCGGTCTACCCTTCTCCGGTGTCCAAACGAAGGGCTATTTGGCTTGGGGCGACGCGCGAGGAGAGTGCTATGGTGTTGCTATGGTTTTAGGAGGATAGCAATGTGAGCAGAGCTTCTTTACTTTAGGACTTGAAAGTTTTAGGACTTCTTGAGGATTTATTGAGGACTCTTCTTTAGGTTTAGACTTTCTTCGGTTGTTTTTGGTTTATTGCGCTCCCTGGGGGTCCCTCGACGAGTGCTTGGGCTTTGGCTGTCGTTCTTCTTGTTGGGGGGACAGATGTGTTTGGGGTCCCATTTAGAGCATCTCCAAAAGTGCCCTCCGAAACGACCATTTTGTTTGTTTGCTTATTTAGGAAGCCTATACTACATTTTAGAAAAAGTTTCGGGCTTTACCAAGTTCGGGAAAAGAACAAATCCCCTGATCCGCATAAACCAGGCATGTTGTTTTTCTTGTTGTTATTATTATTACTAGTTTTTTTTTGTTAAATTTCTTTGTTTTTCTTCTTGTTGTTTGCTCCCAGCACCTGGCTGTCAGGTTGCTTGGGTTGTTGATGGTTGTTGGGACGGGTGCTCTTGGCGACTGAGAAGCTTTTTACAATGCTTCGACCAGGAGCCGCCTCATGGACTCCCCAAAGGGAAAATGAGGTCCACTACCTGTCGAATAGATATGAGATGATATGCATATATAATGAAATGTATGATATTATACATGAGTTGTTGATGACAGAAGAATCGTCAATTGAAGATTATACTGCATGGATGATTAATTCAATCATTGAATTCTACAGTAGTTAGACCCATTGTTCAGTGACGGGAAGACATTGCATCGTTTTAGTTTAACTTAGAACTTTTATAAACCCCAAACCTTGTCAGGTTTCTTGTAAAAGGGGCATGACGAGCAACTCAAAATCGGGTTGAACATATCTTGAACTCCACATGGTCAGTATGAAGATGGAAATACGTGGATATGCATGGTATGTTAAACATACATCAACATACCATCCCCATGTTTATAGGTCTTTGAGGCCCCGGCGCTTGGTGACCGGTGGTTGCTCTCAGGATCCCTGTCCTACCAGTCATACCTTCAAACCTTCAGTTCAACAGTGCGAGGTTTCAAGATCACCTTATAAAGTGTCATACACCAGCAACATCTACCAGCACCCTCCAACCACACGTCGACGTCACCACGACCGCCCACGTCTCCGACGTCGACGTCTCCAGCGGAGACTGACGTCTCGTCCGTCGGGTCGAGTCGATGCTGAACCCCCGTCGACCACCGCACGACGGTCGACGCACGACGGCCGAGGAAGCCGCAGACGCCCTTCGGCCACTGGGCGGCCACTGGGGGTGGGCTGTGCACTGGGGTGAGCGGCGATGGGTGAGCCAGGAGGTCATGAAAGGTTTGAAGGTTCGACTCATGGCGGGACTCATGGCAGCGGTGGTGAAGGAGGGAGTCGGTGGCAAAGGCCTCTTTTTTTTGGCTCCGGGCCATCTTAGATGGGAGTCGTCCAGCCCGCGTCCGGACCCAGCCTGAAACCACCCGGCAACACCTACCAGGCCTACCATAAGATCCCCTGACCGTGTGACTGTGTGACCACACTGTTTGGGGGACGGGGAATGACGTGGACCTCCATGAAGGTCGGTGCCGAATGTTTTCCTTCAAGAGGTAGAACAAACCATGTAGAAATGGGATGAAGGAGGGCCTGCAACCAGGCCAAATTATTCTTTGGAACCTCCCACCGTGCGAATGCTCTACAATGACATGACCTCGTGTGAAGATGCATCAGTGGTCGGATGACCGCCGTCTGAACCCTCGACCTTGGGTCGTCTGAGCCTATGATTCTCCATGGTCCATGGGGGGGTTCCATGTTGTTTCAAATCTTTTCCAAATCAACATGAATTCATTGTTAGTTAATCTGATCTCTAGAACAGCACATTTACAACTCATAACTCATAACATGTGTTGATCATTTACACTTCATTTTTGCTAACAAACACAGCTGTGCAGCCTTTGACACCCACTTAGGTCGAAACATTGGATGGTATACGGTACGTGTTTGCATGGGGAAACCCCCGGGAATGGCCCCAAGGGGTGGGGTCACAGCCATTCGTTTCACCCCCTCGGTCACAGCCCTGAGTCGACCACCGGCGACCACCGGAGCCCGGTCGGCCGATGTACGACAGGGTGACACGGTGAACGGAGCCTCCTTCAGACGATCACATGAACCCTGAAAACCACGTCGATGGCCAGAGGAAAACCTTCTTCCACGGGGCCCAGGACGTCAGGGTCACCACGTGAGGGACCAAAACGCGTCATGTTCTTCGTCACCGGTCTACGCGTCACCAAAACGGTTCATGCTGAGGAGAGCTGCCGGTCTTGGAAGTCCCCGGACAAGGCCTCATCGGCCAGGCGCGGGGGTGTTTGTGTGCGGCGTTTGTCCGGCGTTTGTTTTTGTGGTTTCTTGGAGAAGGTGCGTTCGGAGATGGAACAGAAGAAACAAACGAAAATAATTTCTGTGGTTGGGGTGGCCTATTTGGGGGCCATAAAGATGAAGTCTCCAAATCAATTCATGAATGGGTTGATACCTCATCTGGTTGTGTGTAGAGGATGTAGAAGAACATCTCTTTCAAGGGGGTGCAGAGCATCTCTTTGGGGGGCTTGCGATTTGCAATTGAAGCATTGACCAAAGGACCCCCACAAAATCACAGCTCTTCACTCTCCTCCAGACCAGGATCGAGACTTTGGTGCCGCCCTGGACTTCTACAAATGTCGCTACCCGACCTTCCATTTTCGATGACCTTTGGTCCCTTTCAAATAAGACCAAGGACCTTTGCATAGCTACCCCTTGGTACCCCCAACAGGTACTCGAAGTCACTTGATGACTTGATGGCTGCGGCCCCATAGATACTCATGTTATAGATACAGTAACTATATTATATATATATATTATATTAATTCATATGAGCTCATATCGAATGGATACTGAGCTCATATCGCTCAGCTCCTCGCTGAGCTCCAGGAGGCGGCGATCCTCCACTACTTGGCCCTCAAAGAGCCCCTCTTGGCCGGCGCGGATGACGAGGTCGACACCAATTGGGGCAGGGATGTGGGATGAGGGATGAGGGATGAGGGCATGGCCAAACAGCATCAAACAGCGCAAATGGATGTGGAACCACTTTTTCACACATGAATGGCAGTGTTAGATCTACAATGATTGTATATAAACATGGTATAGTATAGATCGAATCTCCCAGGGCAAAGACATTGTAGAGTCCATAAACTAGGCACTTTCTTCATCATGTTGGTTTTGATATGTTTTGATGACACTCCAGTCCCAGTTGAAACAGCAGCCAACACTGGCCCCAACCCCATGTCCGATCCGATGTCGGGTCTGTCGGGAAACCTCGCTGTGCTGTCCCGGCACGTCCCGCCGTTACCACGTTCCCTGATCCAATGATTGGTCAAGTACTCCCCTGGAAGACGATCACATGGACCCTGAACTGACCCTGAAAACCACGTCGGTTGGTAGAGGAACATGTCCTGAAAACCGGGTCCAGGACCTCAGGGTCGTTAGTGACAGCGGAGGAGTACCTGGACCGACCGGGAGTGTCGAACAATGCGACCCTCTAAAAGGGGCCGGGACTCGTGACCGACCAAAAATCCGCAAAAGCGAAGGTCCGGGTCACAACGACGTAAGGTCCTATGGTCCGTTATGACGTTTACGTCATTGCCCTGCAGAAACTCGTCAAACATCAAGAGTATACCTCAGGATAGCTCATGAAACTCAAACGAACGTGCCACGATCGAAGCCCGCCCTCGTCGCGAGACGCCAGGAGATGGTCACCTCCTTTCAGATCCTTGGGTCTTAAAAGCATCGAGAACATGTTTTCCGGTGTTTTCCCATGTCGACAAATAAAGGTGTTCAATGGTTTTCACATGTTTTCACATACAAATAGATGAGGTTTTTGGGTCAGGGAAAACCCACGTGTTCTGGATGGTTGGTGGGGCCCCTGGTATGTCGGCTGCGGAGGACCGGGACCAAACAAGACAGTGCCGGTGAAAAGTGCACACATCAAGGGCGCCCGGAAGGTGGATGTCCGGCACAACAGGCGCATGCAAGAAGCACACCATGGGGCAGCCATCACCTATACCCAGTGAATGGGTGGCTGTTTGGGTGCAGGATTTGGTTGCTGTGATTGGTTGGGTGTGTCCAACCCTGTCAACAGCACATCTTCACAAAACAGGTGTTTTCGTACCAAAAAATGGCGTTCGGGCGCTCAGACAAAACCGTTTTCGGAAAGACCTCCGCGCTCTGTGTCCTGGAACCCCTTTTTTCCTGCGCAAAAAAGGATCGACCTAAGATGTTCGACATATTCCATCGAATCGTCATTTTCTCCTAATGACAAGTATTGCTTTTGGAAGTTGAAGATGGACATTTGCACCATTTTGCACCACTCCGATATTTATGAACGTGGACAGTGCGTATAGAAAAGGTTCCAGTCACTGACATCCCAAGAATTGCAATTCCAAGGACCTCGCACAGCCTTTTTGGATGTCAAAGGGAACGGAACCTTGCTTCCTAGGATCTTGGGCGCGGCCGAAGACATTTACCAGACGCTTTGGCGTCGGGGCAGGCTTGCCGTTTTTGCACAGGACAGGGATTGCCAGGTTCACCAAGGACAGGGTCGTGTTTTTTACCCAGACACTCATGGATCATATGGAGTGGACTCCCTTTATACATGGAGCAATGGGACTGTTTGGAGGGTCACGAGTCGTCCGACGTACGGAGCATGTGACCTTTGGAGCGGTGATGTCGGGGCGTGCCCATGGCTCATCGATGTTCATCGTTGCCGGAGGGTCGAGCCATCTGAGTTTCAGAGAACCTGAGAAATCAAGACAAGGGCTGCCAAGGGCTGTGAGTAGCACGTGAGGTCAGTTGACTGTGGAGGAGTCCTGCTGGTCAGTCATTCCTGCACCATCAGAATCCACCCAGAGATTGGGAATTGGCCAGCTACCAATGTGTGGAAGTCCCACATGTCATGCACGGCGCTTCTCCATCCTTGATGTCCCTTCACCATTCGTGTCCAGTCACCTCTAGTCGCACTTGGTCACATGTAAACATGTCCTGGTGTCATGCGACATGTTCTGTTAAAGTGATGTTGGATGCCACAAAGTGGAGAATGTTCTTTTCCGCCATGTGACGATGAGGGACATGTTGAACCAATACTCAGCCCAAACAGGCAAACACATGCTCAAGGGTTTCGGACCCTGAGCTTCTGCATACGAAGGGAGAGTCATTTCGGGTAGACAGTTAGCTTGACTGGCTACTGCATGAGTCATCCCATGGGACGAGAGCCATCGCTTCCATTCGTCCATTTGGACTCCGGAATGGTGGCACAGCCACCAACGGTGACATGGCGAATGGTGCCGAAGAGGATGTTTGACAAGCAGAGTGTTAGCCATTTCCTCTTCAGTTGCAAGGATCATTGATCTATCTTCGCTTTTTTCGCTTCAACTCTTGGATGATGTCCACCGTTGGGCGCCATATATTAGCTGCTCAGCCGCTCCGCAGGGGGTCCGTAGTCATGACCCGGCCAGTTCCACAGTTGAAAACACTGAGGAAGCTGAGCAAATATCAAAACACCATTGGCGTGGTGGACAAGTGTAGCCTTGAACAACTCTCCGCATTCTGGGACTCGGCAGATGAGTCCAAGCATGCCCGAGAGCGGGGGCTGAATGCACATCTGGCGTTCCTGGAGAAGTTTTACATGAAGGCGGCGGTTCGCGATAACCCGTGTTGTCGGGAGACATTGGAGGAGTGGGTGATTGTGGAAATCGGCACGAACCTGACAGCATAAGTGTTTCCGTTCATTGGTGGGTTTGGATGGTAACCTGTTTTCTAGCCACAGCCAGATCTTAAAAGGGTTGTTTTGAGGGGATCGTTCTTGAAGGAGGTAAGTTAAAGCCGGCGCTATAAGTCCTCAAACTCACATGGACTCTGAAAAAGCATGACTGTTCCCCTGCATAGTCCCTACCAGTCCCTCGTTGAGGGGGAGGCTCTTTGGGGACTGGAGCGAGCTTTTGAAGACAAGAACCATGACTGAAACCAAGAGCTGACAGGGGGGTATTTGAGGGTTTGGGATTGACGGAAATTGTTTACCCGAACCTCTCAATCAGGATATCGACCATGGCCCTACTGACCCTTTCTTCATGAAAGATGGCACTGCCCCAATAGGACTATGACAAAGAGGGGTTCCTGTTCCATCCACTGCATGCAGCCTCCTGACTGCCTGCCTGCTCTCCTTGCTGAACGCACACGGAACCTTTTTTTCGGAACGGAAACACGGACCGCAGCAGGCGGCGCAGCGCTTGGGGAACGCGGGGAAGTTCACGAAGAAGGGCATCAGCATCGGTGAGTGCAAGTTGTTCACCGTCCTCCACTGCCTGGTTGCTCCATTCAAGTATAGGAGCGATCGGACGCTACGAACGGAGCAAAGGGCATCGCTACGAACGGAGCGATCGGACGCTACGGTCGGGACTCCTGGCCTTACTACGAACGGAGCCATGTTCGCTACGATCGGAGCTGCTTGCATCGCTACTAGAAACAAGAAGCGACTAGGAGCATCTAGGAGCAATGTTCGCTACTAACAAAGGACCATCACCATGGGGTCTCAACAGACTGATATACGCCAGAGCCAGAGGTTTGGGCCCTGGCCATGTTTGGTTCAGCATGTCTGTCAGGTTTCGCGAAGTAAGACATGTTGTTTTTCTCCAGAAAGGGTTCGATAGCGGTTCTCAAACAGGAGAAAAACCATGGTTCTGGAAACATGGTTCTCAAACAGGTTCTCAAACACCCCATCTTCTAGCTCAGTCGAAATCCATCGTGGCAAGCGACATGCGGCGGTCGCGAAGCGATTCGGGACATGCGACCAGTCGACCGGACTCCCTGGCCGATTGAAAAACGTGTTCTGCCATGAACAGCGTTGAAAAATCAACAAAGTAAGACGTGTAGAGCCAAGCATGTCATTGTTATACAGGTATTGTATGATATTGTTATCTTAAAGTCTTGCAAGATCTTCCTAATCTTCCTCCCAAAAAGAGCGTAGACCCACCAGTTGCGAGGATCTTCCACCAATGTTCCACACCATCTTCGACATCCAAAATGAGCGTTTGCCTTGCTATTTCGGCGTGGACTGTAGCATATGCCAAAACATCCTCGGCTCTTGCCAAAACAAATCAAGGTGATGATCAAGCCGACGGTGCTGGAGCACTTTCAAGGTCTCAGTACTTTTTACAATCGCTTCAAGTCCCTGGAGAAGACCCAGGCCAATCTGCATGTGGGAGAGGGACGTCGTCCCGGCTTTCCACGGCTTTGAGTGCGGTGGGGTGTCAGACGAGGATTTGGGAGGGTGCATGCGGATGAGCATTGAGGCATGGAGGGTTGTGGCAGATTCAATGAATCCCAAGCTGGAGGGATAGAATGAGGGCACCGATACAACAAAAGAGTAAGTGGGAAATGCCCCCTGTAGAAGTGTGAAACCGAGGTTGCTTGTCCGGAAAGTGTGTGAGATTTCCTTCCTGTTCATGCATCTTCGTGCATGTTCAATGTTGCTCACAAAACATCCAAGAGCGGTTTCAGAACAACTCGAGAGACGTTGATGCGGAACTGCTTGAACAACGACCCACTCAGCCACCGGCACTATCTCGACCAAATGCTTTGCCGCTCCCTCTCCTCCCGGGCTTTCATGGGTGAGGACATTCTGCAGAACGGCGGGCGCTTCCCTGGGCCGTTCAAGCAGTACTTCATCGCTTAGACAGTGTGGCATGAAACGCATGAAACCTTGCTTTTTGGCTTTAGACCAATGTGATACACCTATGATCCCACAATGTTCTATTCATCAAGTTATCAAGTTGAGGTGTTACAATGATTTGCCTGAGTGCCACAAGCCACACTCTCGTCAAGCAGTCTATGGTTGTGCGCAGAAAAGACGGGCAGGAGGGCAGATCGTCTCGTTGAGGGTGGCGGAAGAGCAAGAAGTTGATGAGTGGTCGTTGCAGTTTTGGCACATGGTTTAATGAAGTTCCCAAATAACATCCCTGTCGAGTAGACGTGCAGCACTGATCCAATCCCAAAGTCTCCACCTTCTATCGAGTTCTATCGAGAAGTCTTACCTCAAACGTACGTCATACAAAGTCAGACGAAGTTCTTTTCGATAGGTTTGGTTTGATCGATTGAAGTTTGGTCGACGGCGCTATCCGTCGTTTCAATTCGCGCTCTCGTGAAAGCCGGGGGAGTGCCGTGGCTGGTTGCGAAGAGGAGACAGTTTGATGGAAACATGTTGGGTTCTTGATGTCCTTGATGTTCTTGGATGTTGGACCAAAGAGCAACTGAAGACCTCAAAAAGCGCCTGGAGTGGGCAGTTGGTGGTACTTTAGGTTGTTCAGATGCATTCCAGGTTTCACTCTTTCAGTCTGTGCTAGGATGTGCTAGGGGCTCGGGACCCGGCCACGACGCTTTCACCGCGTGGTGAAAGAAAACGACCGGACTACCGTCACGTTCCATCACCATCCGGTTCACCATCCGGTTCACCGTCTTCGGGCGACCTGGACCAGCCCGACAGCCCTCCGCCGAGAGAGAGAGAGAGAGAACACCATGGCTTCGCGGACTTTACAGGAACTGGTTCCTTGGAGTTGCAGTCCGCGAACTGGTGGGGTGAGGAAGTGGTCACCTTCTCCACAGGAACTGGTTCCCGGATAGATCGCTTGATGCTTGATCCTTCATACAGCGAGGGAGTGACCACGAAGTCATTTAGAAGTGACCACCAAGTCAGCGAGGGACCTGCGTCGTTTCCTCTACTCTTTGCACGGTTACGGCGACTCGCAACGAGCGCTTTAGGAAGCAGAAACCTGACGGTGATGTTCAAGTAGCAGAGTCAATCCGTTTGGAAGATGTTTGTTGAACTCCCAGGGGTGTTTGGAAAGACATTTACAATCCTGGAACTCACATGGAAGTGGACAATGGCCGCTTGGAAGACCATTTTCCTCTACAAGCAGGGGGCTTTCCACTGCCATGTTAGTTCCACAGAGTGTAAATTCTCTAGCATGGAGGATGTGCGTTCCACTCTCCCATCCTGGTTCCAGACCGGAAGGTGCGGCCACTCTCCTGTTCCGAAACTTGCCCAGCTCGATTGCTTGGAGAAACACCACGGGAACCAAACTTCATGGAAACGTCGAGAAAACCCACCGAAGCCTTGGTCGACCTGCAGAAACCATCCAAGAATCCACTGGGTCCGAGGGGTTTCTGCCTTGACGACCTGCAGAAACCTCCGTCCTTCACACTTTGGAGCTTCTTCGTGTTCAGATGCCGGGCATGGGTTGCTGAGGTGAACTTCGGCTTCGCAGAAAGCAAGGTCCGTGAAGCGCTCTCGGCCATCGGACGCTTGGGCGTAATGATTTAGATCAGACAGGCGACTTCTTAGTCAAAGCCACCAACCACTGCAAAACTGATTATGATTGATGGACCCCATAAAATCCTCATAACTGATAAATCATCATCCATTTGCGAGGCCCAAATTTCAGATCTTCTGGTCGATATCTCCATACATTGTTGTTGTTTCCTTTTAAGATTATGTGTATAAGCAATGGTTTATATAAATAGATTTAACCAGCGCGTTCGTTGTGGGTGACCCTGGCATTCCTCCACACTGATCTTTAGTGACGGTGTGAGTTCCACCCCTATGATTCGATGATCACACCCCAAAATATCCAATAGGATTCAAGTTTGACAGGTTCTGATGATCACAAACTAGCCAAACCCATTCGTGAAAGAAAGAAGCACTGGCGCCAATTGGTTTATCTTGAACATCCCGGCAAACCGCGAACCGGGTCCCGGCCACCCGCCCAAAAATGATAAGAAAAACAGGCAACTCATCCGCTTTGGACTGGGGCAGTGGGCAACTCCTCCCATCATCCCGATCGAAGAAGGGCGGTATCACGTGAGCTGCGGGGTTCGGAAGACGTCAGCTCCGTACAGGAAAATTACTCAGGTGGAGTGGCCCGAAGTGGTAGTGGCGGATGGATTGACAATCCGGTGGAGTAAAGTGAGTCAAGTCACGGAAGTTCTGGGGTTGGTCACTGTCACGGGAAGTTCTGACCGACCGAAGGGATGTTTGACATTCAGCAGAACCTAGAACCTGGTGTGATACTTGTTTGTATTTCGATAGTCGCACTCATTTATACGTAGTAACTGTAGGGTAGTCGAACGCCAGGACACCCAGATGGTCGGATGGTCCTGGTACCATCTTTGCAAAGTTTGTAGGTCTACAACAAGATGTAGGAGAAACACAAATGGACTGGTGGTTTGGTATGATTGGTATGACTGGTGGTTTGATTTGTGGGATACAACAATTAGCCGAATGGTTTGGTATGATTGTGTATGTGTTTTCTCAGAATCCTGTGGGCGAGATGTCTACAACAAGACGTTGCATGCCACGTTCGGAGTCGCGTTTCGGGATCTCAGCTCCGTGAACGATTCCAAGGTAGAATCCCCCATGCCCAATAGGAACCCCGTGAACGCAAGCTGAGCTGTGCGCGTAAAGCACTCTATCTTTGGGGAAGAACCACGGATGTGACGTTCATCGAATCGAAGGTCTTAATATAAAGAATGGTACCTTCTCCATTCATAAAGAATATAAGACAACACACGTGTACATCGACTGGTGACCTCTCCAATATAAAGAACAATTTGTTAAATTATTTATATATGTATCATGTAGATCGACGGTGCATACTTCGTGCTATGCACCGTCCTTTGGATTTCCATCCGATGAGGGAGTCAAGTCACTCGTTTAAGAATGAGAAGAGGTGGTCATGAGCTGGTGGCTTGAATGCGGACACTGGGCACTCATTCCCATGGATGAAATGTTCGAATTGTTTCGACAGGTGCGCTAAAAGGAGAATAGGTCGTGGTGGTTGAATCATGAAATCATATGAATTCCCTTTCTGGAGAGATTTTTAAACAATCGCCAGTTGGGTTGGCCATAACCTAAGCTCTATATATGGGTGTGTATTTCAATAAGGAGACACCCAACCATTGGGTTTTAGGCCTATTTCCCTTCCTCCAGAAGGTCTTTGGGATGTCTCCCTATTTTAATATACAAACCCATGCATATATATATATATGACCTGTCCAGCCCTGATCAGATCAGAAATCAATGTTCCAACTGACAGAAGGACCTTCGGTTCTGAATTGCCCAGGAAATCCAAATGATAAAGAGGCAGCCATCAACTGGTTGCTGGGCTGCAGGATTCCATGTTTTCATGAATGCTTTCAGTTGAGCCGTGTCGACACTTCAAACTTCACTTTTCGGGGTACCTTGAAGCTGGCAAGACTTACTGTTGATGGACAAAATCCTGCACCACTTTGCGCACACTTTTCTTGCTGCCCTCGTTCTCCCTCGTTAACATTGGGGCCACCACAGTGAGAAAACAAAAACAAGTTGAAGGTCCAAAATCCTGCACCACCTCCTCAGAGGGGTCGCGCCAACATTGAATGAGGGGTCACGGGGGTTGCTATGCGACCCTTCCAGGGTAAAGTGGTGAGGTGGTGCAGGATTTTGTCCATCAACAGTAGGAATGGGAGACTCCCACATGAATATCATGAATATAGCGACTCTAAAAACGGCTAGGAGAGTGTTGTTGCTGTTGTTCATGTTCTTTATGTTCTTTTTGTGCAGATCAAACCAGGATGAAACGCGAGCTCATTGCGCATGGCCCACCTCCGCCCGGGTCCGCTTCGCCAGGCTCTTGGACCACGGCGAGGAGGACCGCGGCGGCACGGTGGAGCTGAAGCACTGCCCCCACGTGGCAGCGCGGCAGGGTACGGAGCGGATCAGTTGGTAGGTATAGGGGTTAGGTATCCAGGGTTAGATTGGTTTGGCATGATTTGGCTGGTTCGTTTGGTTTGTTTCGTTTCGGTTGGTTGAGTGGTTGGTCCATCACTCAGTAAGTGAGTAAGCTTAGTGTACACTTTGCGAAGCGGTCAATTAGCACAGCTACAAAAGCATATGTTTTACAAATTGTACTGCAGGCACCGAACAAGAGGGTTGTCGAGGAGCATCCGCTAGTGCCAGAGTTCCGTTTGGTTGTGTGCTGCGGGTGCTGTGATTGCTGTGCCGGATTCTTGGAAAGCCTTGTGGGAGCGGGACTCCCTTGTCCTGAAGATATGGGTGTGTATTTAAGTAGGGACACCACCAACCAATTGGTTTAGGTCATGTGATTTCTTTCCTTTCAATGCACAATGGCCCCAACATGAGAGACTTTGTGCCGGTCCCAAAATGCATTCTTTTTCCATGTGAAGCCGGAGCCGGAGCCCTTCTGAGCTACGGCCATGACCGACGGCCATGGGCCGGCATGGGTGTTCCCCAAGCAGCTGCTCACCAGTTGCTCCCAGCGGCACAGCTGCGCTCACTCTACCTGGGTGAGAGGTTCACCAAGGCGAAGCAAAAAAAGGTCCACGACGGGTATTTCACCAAAGCGTTTGGAGACCGGTTACCATGAGGTCAGCTCGGTCTCGGTAGCTAGCGTAGCTCGGTCTGGCCATCGGTTTCTTGATGACAAGACCATCGACCTGCACCAAATGCATCCAAATGCACCGATCGATTCCATGCCGAGGATGAATTCGCGCATCCCTTCAGCCCGCAGAAGTGGGGTATCTCAGCGTGGGGAGGGTCCCCACGTCAACTCATCGAGTAGTCCAAGTCGTGTCGTTTGTCATTCCAGAACGAACGTGAAAAGGGGCTGAAAGACGCATCTCAAGAACTCTGTGGCTGAAAGTGAACTGTCCCATGTGAGTTTGGTGTTTGGGTTCTACCATCACTACCAGCTCCAACATGCTCCAACAGATTGTTTTAAGATCTGCATGGATTCTGGATGGTTGGGGTGATTTGGCTCTGGAGTTGTGACATGGTCGTGGTGTTGGGTGCTCAGCATGTCTCCGGAACATGGGATCGGCTCGGACATGGACAGCATGTCTCCGAGGTTGGTGAAGCGATCAAACCTGACGTACCACAACCACTGCACCCAAGCGGCAGGGCGCCGCGCGACACGCCCGCGGTTGCAGACGTGGTTTCAGCACGAATGTTTGAGAAAAGTGTTGGGGATGCTTCTCCCTTTGATCATGGAGCCCATTTACAGGATTCTGGGACCTCTGGGACCTTTAAGTTTGACGGAAAGTGTCCTGTCAATCCTACCCTGCGGCGCACGTTCGGGGTGGTTTTTTGACATTTGCGAGATTCTCGCCCAACCTTCGCCCAGCAGTAGAGCCCTCTCCTTCCCAAATGTGGATGCGAAAAATGGGGTGAACACAATGTGTCCCGGGTTGGGTCGCATGAAGCCAGTTGTTCCTACTTTTGACTATGTCCAAGCGAAGAAGGTTGCAAAGATGGGTTCTCCTCCAATTAGGGACAAGCATGGCTAAAACGGCCGCGGGTCATCAACACCAGGCAGGTCATCTAAAAACTCTTATAGTGTTTCACCTGACAGCTCGTCACCCGAAACAGCATGTCAGTGCCTCTATTTGGCACCCTGGAAACTCTGCCAATGAATTGGCTGTGAGTTAAAACCAGGAGACCGACCGGTTGACCAACCTGGGAGGTCGTTCGCTACATGGTGGACTGGTCAGGCTATCGACCCGCAGCCTAACCGGAGCTGCACGTACACATCATTTGTAAGTTTGGAGGGCTCCCAGGATTTGGGCGTGTAGGGTATACAACATGGTATAACATGTACATGACCCACCCCAAAAGAAGCATTTAATACCTTGCTGCAGTCACTAGAAAAGCTGCGTTGGGCTGTTCTAAAGCGACCAGTTCTAAAGCTGTATGGCGTGCAAACCACACGCGAATCTTCAGGTCAGCATGGCTGCAATGGATCTGAGAATTGGCTGTGCCTGCTTTGCGGCGAAACCAACTGTGGACGCTATGCCTTCAAGCGCCATGATCGGTAGGGGTACGGCGGGCACCGTGGTGGGTCGGACGTGGAAAAAACGTTGCACCACCTGGAGCCACCAAATACCCTTTGAGAAGGTGGGACTGGGGTGGGTGCCAGGAGGGTCAGTTACATGACATAAACACTTCTTAGTTGATCCGAGTGGTGTTTTTAAGGCTGCCCTTTGGTGCAGTCAGAAGTGGGGTCAACTGCGTAGTCGGCAGATCATGGAAGCCTCACCAGGCAGGTTTCACCTCAACTGCCCCACTGGAGGGTTCGCCCCACACCGACGTGTGGTGCGGTCGCGTGTCACCGGTCGATGTGAAACACACCATGTTTCACCGGTGTTTTTGTCCACCCAGGCACAGCCTGGGTCATTGGGAGGACAAGAAACGCGAGGAGGAAGCCAAGATCACCATGGCAGACGCCGCCGCTGGCAAAGAAGCCTTCGGGCATCTTGGATGATTTCGTTGGCAAGACGTGGCTGGGTTTCTGAAGCCTGGCCACGCGTTGGGTCGAAGCTTGGGCCGTTCAGTGAGCCTTGGAGTGGGCGCCAGGCGCCCGTTGAGGACCAAAGCCCAAGGACCCCCAAGCCACCCAGGAAAAGAATGAGAAAGCCCATGAATGAACCAGAATCCATTGAACTTGGCAGTTTCCGAGCGGAAGAGAGATAAGGGTACTCTTTTGGCTTCGCACCAACTCTGTCCTCCCCGTCCCAAAACCCAAGTAGCAGAGTGTTCTGGTGTAGAACGGACAGCCTTAAAGCACAAAATAGTCGGTTCGGTCAGTTCTTTCACGTTCACCATCATGGGGTTGGGAAAGACAGTTGGCTTTATCACAACCAACCTTGGTTCCTGTGCATGTGGAATTAAACCTATAAAAGGGCGCATCAAAATACGTAGCGGCAAACCGGCAGGGAAATTCCATAAAGCTGATTTGGAAGATCATTCTCCTTGACTCACTGTCACTTAGAACATCTTTGGAACGCTGGTTTTGTGTTTTTGGGTAGTTTGATACAGGGAAAACCACTGCGTCCCAAGGCATTGCTTGGTCTTGGGCTTGGCAGATCTCACCGTTTGGTGCTACGAGTGCCAATCTTACGTGAACCACGTGCCCTGGATGCACCAGCGAAGCGAAGTCGCAAGGCAGTCGTTTGGGAAGCAATAGAGTTTTTTGCTGGGGCTCTAGCGTCTCAAAAAGGCAGCCCCTGCCACACTGCGGCATCAACCGTATATGGATCTATAGTATATATATATATATACATGTATAGAGTATGGATTGAACATGCGTGAAGATGGTTTTTTGGTGTGGGCTTGTTCAGCTCCAGTCATACGTACGTGCCATTTTCGTACCATCACTCGGGTTGCCGATGTAAGGTACACCTGCATTGGTCCAACGGTTTCTCCGGCGCTTGGTCACCCGCAAGAAAGACCCATTCGTTGGTGCGTCGTTTCACCGGTTTCAGAACAAAGTCACTGAGGAGATGCTGGGGCCCTTGCTGAAACAGATGCAGGGATTGAAGTTTGGCGCACCAGGACCGACGAGCTATGGCGCCATTTTTGGGGGACAACTGGGATGTTGAGCCCAAAAGATGGGCGCCAAATGGCACTTGGTGTATTTGAGGTGGCACAGACATCTAGACAGAAGTCCTTGACCAGCACTGGAAATGGATGGATCTTGATTCCTGTCTCCTTGGACCAACAGAAATGATTTCCCGCACGCCGTGCAGGCTCGTGGATCCGGAAGTTAGACAGAGCGACCATTGGTACGGGTAATATACCAGGACCATCCTGTTATCCTGTTTGGTTGTGGCTGGAGATCCCGAATAGTAGTGTAGCGTAGTTAAGCGCCAGCACACCCAGATGGTCAGATGGTCCTGGTGTGTCTCGCCCGTCAGTGGTTTTGTGATGTTTTTTTCGTTTGTGGTTTGCTGGACGGTTTGATCCCACCAAATTCAGCATGTGGTTTCAGCGATCTGTTTTTCTGCAGCTGCATGTGAAAACCGCTGCTCTACGGAAATTCCCTCATCAACTTAGAGTGCAAAACAATAGTTGGCTGCCAAAATGGACAGTTCATTGGGAGTATGTCTTGTACCACCGCTATGGCCCCCCAAAAGAAGATTGTTGGGTGCACCTTCCCAAGAAGAACGTGTCACCTATTGACCAGCGACGCTCTTGGATCTTGGGATGTGAAAGCCTCTTAGAGGCTTGGCCATTTTTCATCACATGAAGAGTTCACACATGAAGAGGCAAAGGATTTTGTTGGTAGATGTCAGGATAAACCTCCCCAAAAGGCAGTGCCATTAACTTGGGTCCTCTTGGCCTACGTGGACCACGACCAGCGCGAGCGGTTGAGCGGTTCAGGATCCGACGCCAAGGCCTTGGAACCTTCCTTGCAGGCGGAGCGCGTGAACAAGCGCGGTTTTTTCGGGGTGTTCGTTTTTCCTGTAAACAACGAGGGTGTTGGGGGGCGGAGGGTGTGGGGGGGGAGCTGACCTCGCATGAGACATGGGACAGTCAGAGGCGAATCTCACTGGGCTGTATATGTGGGTCGCCTTGGGATTGCAGTGATCCAAACAAATCAAATGGAATAAATGTGGAGCAGTCCATGATCACTTCGCTCTGATCTTGCGATTCTTTCAGTTTCTCTTCCATCTTATACCAAGTACTCTATACCAACGTTTTTGCTGTTTTGTTTTGCAGGGGACGGGAAAAAGCAACTCTACAAACAATCTGCGTCTTAGCAGCGAAAATCTCAAGCTGTGGGTCCTGTGGGTCTGTCTTGCAGGGCAGTGCTACCCAGTTGGCAGGGCTGTGTCCCAAAAGCTTTTGCCCCACGAGGAACCTGGGATATGCTGAACTCCCATGGGTTTGTAACCTGTAGTGTAGAAACTCTTCAAGATATGGTCGCAGGTTGTTCAATCACCATGAATCAGAAGTGCAAGCAGTATGTCTTCAAAAAAAATGAGTCGTTGAAACAGCATGTGGCTTTGACCCACCCCAGTGTTTGTTCGGATGCTTTTCGTTCAAGGCCAATTGGAGACCGGCGGCGAACCCCGACGAAGACTGAGACCTCAGACCTTAGGGACCCCTCAGCCCCGACCTGCGCTCCGCCGATCAGTCCACCAGGAGGGGCAGCCCATGAGGGCCCAGCAGGATGCGATGCAACCTGGAATGAAGCGGACGATCGGGAAGCGTTGGAGCAAGGAAAGCACTGGGGAGGGTCGACAGCACTGGGGAGGGTCGACACGGATGTAGACAAGGAAATGACTGAGAAACCCCACCGCATGTAGCATAGGAAAGGTCAAAAAGCTGGAAAAGACTTCGGGGGTTCTGGGGGTGTGACATCCAACCTTGCCTAAGATATATGTCTTTGTTTTTGCGACCTGGCTTCTGCACAGTTCGGCCGGAACAGAGTGGCCAGTCGTCTTTTCTCACCGAACCAATCCTCTCTGAGTCTCCAAACGTCTTAATTCACTTCAAACCTTCGAGGGTTGCGGCCGAACACTTCTGGCACAACAGTTCAAACGGCCGCAACCCGTTCAAACCGTTCAATCATTCGAATTTTCTGGCAGATATCGAATCTTGGAGGTGTTATGTGAGGTTCCAATGTATCAGCGCTCAACGTTCGATGTGCAGCAGGCTGATGGGTCAGCCTTCCATGGCTGATGTTCCCAAAGGCATGAAATGCATGACTTTGTTCCAACTCCAGAAGCGAGAAAAACAAAGAGCACCGGTGTCCGTTGAGTCGAACGGGGAGGGCGATCGGCTTTTGGTCCTAAGTTTGTAGGGTGGGCGGTTGCTTCTTCTTTTGGTGCCACGCAAACGCGGTGAGATCCCTTCGGGGGTTCTAGGGGTGTGACATCCAACCTTGCCTAAGATATATGTCTTTGTTTTTGCGACCTGGCTTCTACACAGTTCGGCCGGAACAGAGTGGCCAGTCGTCTTTTCTCACCGAACCAATCCTCTCTGAGTCTCCAAACGTCTTGGGTTCACTTCAAACCTTCGAGGGTTGCGGCCGAACACTTCTGGCACAACAGTTCAAACGGCCGCAACCCGTTCAAACCGTTCAATCATTCGAATTTTCTGGCAGATATCGAATCTTGGAGGTGTTACGTGAGGTTCCAATGTATCAGCGCTCAACGTTCGATGTGCTGAAGCTGGGGGCATGAAAACAGAAGAGCGCAAAAAACATACACACAAGTCGCTTCTGCCGCTTTCCACTCCCTCCTTCCTTTCGAGTCTTGGCGCTTTCACCGTTCGCCTCGGAGATGTTTAGATCGTTTTTCTGGGGCCAGGGGATCAGGGGATGGGGTGTGAGTGGGGGGATGGGGTGGGTTTTGCTGAATTCCGGCGGTTTGGTTGGAGCCTTCCACCGGGGCCGAAGTTGGGGAAAGGGGACGTTTCGTGGATCCGTGTGCCGAAGTTGGACAGAACACCATGAATATGGGTGCATGTCAGAAGATAGGGAGACCCGCGTGCCGACCGGAAGCTATGTTTCGAATCTTTTTGGATACTGCATACAACCCGTGCATGCGTCAGGTCCAGATGTTCCACATCATCAGGTTCATAATGGAAGGGCAAAGGTTCAGAGGGTTATCGTTGATATGCCAAGTGGACGCATCCGTTGGAGTATGGGCACTGGCACACAGAGTTGTGGTCTTCATTGTAGATTTTTGGGGAATGACAACAGGTGCTCAGTTTTCTGGCTGCAAACCAACGACAGTTTTGCGAGTGTTTTGGTCATGTGCAGCTTTGGCTTCAATGTTCATCTTGTACTCGTGTACCAGGCTGTCCCAGCACCATCCAACAGGTCATCAACATGTTGACTTCTTAAGCACCAGCCCTCAACAAAAATGTTGGAGTGTGGTGATATAGGTGAGTATGGCTCTTAAGTTGTTGCTTTGCCTTCCGCCACGTGCTATATGTTTCCGTTTGTTATTGACAATCTAACATTGGTGTGGTTATAGAACCACGTAAAATGACTCATTTAGGATAGTAAGAAATAATAAGATGAGTCTTAATCAAAGTGGGTGTGGAAACCTAAACGGTTTGCTCAGCCAAATTATCACGTTGGCTATTCTTGCATGTTTGTGTCAACCTTTAGGTTTGCTTAACCCATTTTGATCCATGTTGTATTTTTTTTCGCACATCCAATTAAGATGATGAAACAACAGTTTCATTGAGGTTTAAAGCAACATACGAATCCAAACACATCAAAACATCAAACCAGATCAAATCAGGAATGAAACACATCAAAACACCCGGACATTCAAAACCGTACCTGGCACAAAACGACCAGCTTGAAAAAAATGAAATATATATATATATACTAAAAGGACATGTGAGGGCATATGCCTGCAAAAAACACAACACATGTCCTGAGAAGCGCTTTCTCCAACTGTGCGCAATGAGCGTAGCCTTGCCTTGACCACTGACTGCTTGAGCAGGTAAACATGTATTGTGAACATTGTGTGAAAGTATTTTCCTTCCCTGGACATTGTGATCTGAAACTCAAGTTGGACATTTAAATGCACAAACATTGTGTAATGTTGACTTATAATGACTTACATGTTTACGAATTGCCTCAATTGATCTCAGTTGGTTCTGCCGGCAATAAATTAACATGTTTTGAACATGTAGAAAAGATAGGCTTCCGGGTGGGGAGATTGAAGACTTGCATCAATCCTTGCCATGCAAATGATATTCTGAGTGAAATTGCACTTGTCAATTGCACCTGTCTCGTCCTCATTTGATTGCGCAAAATTTAAGGTGGTCCACAGTCGACATGAGCCCGGCCAAAATGCATCAAAGCTAAGTAGTTCAGGTCAAACATGGGCCTAGCCTTGATGTGGAATGCACTCGATTGCCAGCCGAAAAGCGCGTGTAGCGTGTGTGCCGTGCCGTGCAATTTATTTTCGAAGCGGCGCAAATAAGTGCCTTTTCAAGAAAAAATGCCGTCCAAACGGCGTCTTTCCGTCGATGGATTTTGAGCACATGTTTGCAACTCCTAAAACGGCAATGTTTTTTGATTACTGTAATTAGTGCCGTTTGAAGATCCAGGTATAGTTTTTTTTGTCTATCTCCATTTCTGAAATGCAACACAAGCGTGCACTCCATTCCTGAGTGAGCAAAGCAAAAAATAATAAGACGCAGAAAACACATGCAAGTTGTCAATATATATTGATAACATATTTAAACAAAACACAAAAATTGAATATGATGCTTGAATGTGTTTCATGACTACATGTCCGTCACGGTCACGAAGTCATGACTCCTAGACCCATTTTAGACGAGAATTTACCGTTGTGTTTTTTATTTTTTAAAGACTAATGACCTATTATCACCCATTTAAGAATGACCATGATTGGATATCATGAGTGTGGTCGACCTAGTCTCGGTAGCAACCCTTGCCATTTCTAACGAATTTTGGACTACCTTATTCAATTCATCGAAGAAGGTACGACTGTCGCAATGGCTGTTCAGACAGGAAAGCCGGGATGCTTGTGCGTAAGGCATGGCGCATGGAACGATGGTCACTTGCCAGAGGTGCAAACCTCAAGTGAAGTACTCGGCCTCTAAGGGCTCCCTAGGATCCCAACAATTTTTGCTTCCCTTGCTACTTGGATAGTGGGGGACAGCCTCTCCACCTTCCTCCCACCTTTCCCCAAGCCAAACCACCCTGCAATGGGCTCCCGGCTGCTTGAAGACCTTGAAGTCTCAACATCACCTACTGCCATGTGGTCCAGGCACGGCCGCTGCGGGGACCCTGCTTGGCCTGCGCCGCACTTGGCGCGCGCCTGTGAGGAAGATGCGCGACCGGGCTACCGGACAAAAAGTGCAAATGAGTCACTTGGATGAGTCAGAGCTGTGAGCGGAAGTGGCAAGTGTTGCATAGTATGAGGATGCAGTTTTTGGGCAAGATTCTTGGCGTCTTGTATGTTGGCAGATAGGTTCAATGGCAACTCCATGGTTTTTTGGCATATGTTCATATAGACTATATTAGTGTTGTAGACCTGCTGCATGGCTTCTGATAAATGCTGGTGCCCTTCTAAATCAATGCAGATGCTCAAGTTGCATATTTCCGTCAGTCTCTTTTGGGCAGGCGAGTTCCACAGCTTCCGATATTATTGGATTTGTCGCTTGTTTTTGGTTGGTGTTCGCACGTATTTTCCACGGCATTCCACCACCACCATTGATGAAAGTCCCAGCGAACTACGTTTTCATTACGTGACACCTGTGGTTGAACGTTGAATTAAACCACATCGTGGGCCACATGAAACCTCAAAATGAATCACAAGTGAAGGCATTAAAAGGTACTAAATGTTGTCACATTGTCAAAAAATACAATCCATTCATCCCCAAGTACCTCCCCATATTTTAAAAATACAGCTGAGATCCACACTTTTGTTTCCACAGACTTGAAGACCTCCATGCCACAAGGGTTGATGTCAGGTATTTGGACCACGAAGAGGTCTTGCGGGCGAAAGTGAAGACCCTGGCCGAGTCTGGCCGACAGTCATCGATTTCCTGAAGGTTTGGTTCGGTCTTATTACCGACCAAGTAGGACCTAGTAAAGAGTGTCCGAATGGATCCTAAATGATCTATTTGTGGGTGGTATTCCATGTCATTCCCTCATTCCCTGCGAGTCGCACCAGTCAGGTTAAGGGGTTAGTTCGATGCTCTTGGTGTTGTTTGATGGTTTTGATTCGTCGTCATTGCCCGCATCAAAGCCAGTGGATTGAAGGCGGAGGAGAGTGTCACATAGGCCCAGTTTCAAGAAAATATTGCGTTTGGATTGGTGTTTGGCCGGCTTATCATCAAGATGGTTCGAAAGAGGTCACACAACGTTTTGTTTTTTTTTGCATGATCCAGCGCCCTCGGACTAGAGACTTAGCATGCAGCCAAGACGAGCAAACTCAAGTGGTAAAGCAGTGTCATCTATATACGCTGAATTCATGGGACCCTGTGATGAGTTGTTGTCAAGCATACATTCCGCAAGGGTTTTGGTCCCCTTCACATGTATTGATGCAGTTTTCCAAAACTTATTACAATACAGATGCCCTGACACTCCATATTATGACCACCACTGTAATTGTGGGTGGTTGAAGAAGGGTTCGTGTTTTCTTCATGTGCTTTTGTTTCAGTATAAACTATCCGCATCAATCGGTACATTTACCACATCAATCGGTTCGGAGTCTCCATACTCTTTGAGCGGTTATGACGGGTGTTCGACCGGGACCTGACGCGATTCTGACAGAAACTGGTTTGAGAACTCCCTCACCGGTGGTGTTCTTCGCTTTTTTGGGCTCCCCCCCGGGGGGTTGGGGAGGATGGGAGCAGGGGTGAGAGGGGTGAGAGGACGAATTTATCGCTCCAAGGAGATGATTCGCAAGAGCCAGAACTGCGTCGCTTACACCGGTGCCGGTCGCTTAGCAGAATCGGAGACTCCAAGGGGTCGATCGAAAGAAATCGGAGGTTGGATGGTTGGTGCTGTCCTATCCCGCTCCAGCGCACTGCGTACAATCATGGAATATGGTTCTTCAATGGGGTTTCATTCCCCTTCCATAGTTTCTTCAACGAAAGCCTTTGGTGGGGGGCTTGCGCCCGTGCTGGAACCGAGGGAGCCGAGCTTCCACTTCGGTGAGTTGGAGGGTAGCCATTGGGCTTGAGAAGGGACACCTATGCTATCTTTCCTGACATCAAATCCTGGGACTGCCATATGCACCTGAAGCTAGATTTGACGTACTGGTGGGTGAAAGACACAGTGATTGTCCAGATTCAAGGCCTTGAGGGTGCAATTTCCATACCGAAGATAATTGAAGTTAACTAGTAGACCCCTTTGTAGTGAGAGACTTTAGGGAATGCAGCCTGTAGATCGGACGCTTCCTTCGGGACCACCGGGGGAGTACGGACGGTAGCGGTCGCGCGCATGCCGCGCGCATGCCGCGCGCATGCGCGAGGCATTAGCACCGCCTCGGGCATCAGTTCCTCGGCGAGAGCCGACGTGTTTTGGGCCAAACGGCACTGCCTCGCTATACGTGCCTCGCGTTGTTTTTCCTGTCCTGCTCAGATGTGCTCAACGGTTTGGGTCAAGAAGCAAACATACAGCTCAGAAAGATGGAGAGCTCCAGTTTTTAGTCTAGTTGTCCATGAAGCAGCAGTGTTTGCCAAAGCCACAGTGGCTAGTTCCTAGTCTTTTGCGCTATGGATTGATGCACGACTTGCAGGTCTGATCAGTTTTCTTGTTTTCCGCTGCTCTCCCCTTCTCTCCTTTCAACTAGTTCAGGTTCCACATGGTTCCGCAGATCGGGTCTTCCAAAGAAAAAGGGACAAATCGATGGGATGTGTGTGTGTGGGCTTGGCTTTTTCGTGGCTTTGCTGAGCCACTTGAGCGACTTTCTCCACCAGTCACAGGCAAACTGGTCACGTACGGACGATGTCGGTCAGGTCGCTGGTTCGCTTTAGGCTCCACAGGGTGGTGTGGATTTCAAAGGCATTCGACGTGACCAGCGAGCTTTGCGCCGTTTGGAAAGAAGAGAACGGTGTGAAGAAACTGTTTGCCCCTCACATGTCGCTCTAGACTTCTTTGCAACCCCGAACTCACTCACCACCCATATTGGCTCTACTTTCTGTTCCGCGCTCGCTTAGCCCAGGTGACTATGCGTCCAAAGCTGCTGGTTCCATAGCAACCGATGGGGTTGAGACACTCAGCTTGATCATGGAGTTGGTCGGCATGAGCCTCCTGAGAACTTTGAAGAAGGCAGAGGCTATACTGACTTATTACCAGCTCATTGGCCGTTGCCATGGCTCTTGTGCGTGGTGGGATGGAATTTTGTTGTGTTTGCACAAACACCTTCCTGTTCAGCAGGTATGATCAACTCAAAGATGGATCTTTTTACAAGAAATCCTTCATGTTGCAACGCATATCAGCTCAACAAATGAGTGAACTGACCACCTTGTAGCCAGAACCTGCTTTTGTTGAGGCGCTGAATAATCTGAATGGGAAAGGGATGGAAAGGGGAACCATGAGGGTTTGACTCACCAAAAGGGAATGTACCCAGATTGGCCATGATTGGCCTATGAAAACCCAGTCGGCTTCGGGGTGTTTCAGCCGCTTCTGGGTTGTATTGACCAATCGACCCTTGCATCTCCTGCCCTTTTGTCGCATGTTTTTCTCTCATCCACTGATGACGAACATCATCCAACATCCGTAGTCCGCAAGACCAAATATGAAAGCTCGCAAGTAAGGCCCCTTTTTGTTGGCCAGTCACTCATCCAGTTATTGCAAGTCACCCAGCCAAGTCATCCAGTTAGACCATATCGTCCATATCTCAATGACTGACTTCACGATGTCCTTGCACTCCTGGGTCCTTTTGGAAGGAGTTCTTGGACCTAAAATGTTCACCGCAGAACACTCGCTGGAGAACCAGTTACGAGATGAAACCTCTCAGACGAGTCGCTGGGTTCAAACGGCCACGAGTCGCAGTTCCCTTAGGTGTTGCTTTTGGTTGGGTAGGTGTTTTTATTTTTTTAAATGATGATCTAAGGGTATCACCTTCAAACCCAACCCTATGGGTGTTCCCTATGGGTAAATCCCGGGTCAATCCCCTGGAGAATCTTCTTCCTTTTCGTCCCGGCTTCGAACCACGCGACCTTCCAGCGCTTCGTGCCTTGGCCCGTCCGACCAGGGGCTGTCCGGTGGGTTGTCATGGACACCCCGAATCACCTCAAAAAGGAGCTATACTTAGACACCCCGACAGGGGGTCCTGGTAGTGGTTAATTGAGATAATGCCAGTGACACATCTATTCCTATGGTGTGTCTTCCCTTTTACACAGCCGTTTGATCCACCGCATGAAGGATTCAGCCCCATCACGCCGTGATGGTTGTTGAACTTGAGGAAGGTGTCACATTGGCGAGCGAAGCCCACCATAGCGCACCGGGCCTTGGTGGGGCTGTACCGGCAGCTTGGCCGATCGTTGGTGGTTTTTCTCAGCTGCGCGGCTGTTTGTTGGCATCCCATCCGCGTGTTTCAACAGAATTGGGAAGCACTCGGCGAAAAATGCAGTGATTGAGGGACACATGCAGGTCATGGTTCTTATGACATCCAAGAGCAGTGTCAGATAAGGCCGAGAAAAGAAACATCAACACAGCTTGTGAGAAACCCCCGTCGTTTCTGCTCGGCTCAATGGTTTTTGCATGTATTTGCAATATGTTGCATTTGATCAAAGTTTTTGCTGCCAGCGTTCAGGTGTTCAACCGACGGTATATATAAAATACTACATAAATAAATGGTAATACTGACTGGATGACGAGTGTCCTTTAAACCACCCTGGCAGGATCCATGGAACAGCACTTCAACGGAAAATATGGCAATATGTTAGCAGGGGATCTCGTGAAACCAAAGACAGATGGAGTGGTGGTCCACTGATATCTCAAAATGCCCAAATTCAATGCCTTGACAATTGTTCGATGATAATTTATGAAGAACTTGAATTTCCCAACAGCCTCCAATGAGTCGCCAGGCCTCTTTAAGGTCAAAACATGTCAAAGCCCTGCCCGATGCCGTCGCCCATGTTTCCCAACCCATATTGGGACACGCGAAACCAGCAGTGGGGGCCGCCGTCCAAATCTGCGGCAGCAGTGCAGGCCGTCCAAAGCTATCCAGCAGACTCCGAGAAGTCGAACCACAATTGTTTTAATCGCCTTTACCGAACAACCATTGCTTTACTAAGGGTTTTGCACTACAAAACCAGATCAACCATTTTAAACATGGTCTTTGACTTCCAGGGAGACTGAAGGGATGCGAAACCGATGAGTTCGACTCAACACGATGGGACGTCGTGGGTGTCTTTGGGTCGAAGCGATGACCAGCCGACGGTGGAGACGTGCGCGCCGACCCAGCGAAGAGCTGGAGGAGAAATCATATGGGTCATCCACCCAGCACTACTTTGTATGATATCATATAGATTTAGGTGATGCGTTGGAAGATTTTTGAGAGTGAAAGTTGTTTGAAGACTTGCCCAGATTTTTCTGCATGGGAGTGGGCTGTGGACACGGTCTCAGGCAGGGCCATTTAAAGCATTGGGTGCAGCAAAACCACGATGGCTTGCCACAGCACCTTGTCCAAGTCGGCCAGTGACATGACCAGAATGGTTTACTAAATGTGGAGATGGGTGGGACAGGTATTGGCTCTTGGGGAGATGAGCGGGCATTGAGCCAGTGTATGTGCAAGATCCAGGGAGCCAAAAGAATGTTTCCCTCCGGCGGATGGGTATACAGGCACGATACAGGCAGTTCTTACGTATAATTACCCGTACACGTGAGCAGATGACAATGCTTGTGAAAGAAGACCATGCTAGCCACTCTTGAGAAGGGTCTTCAAGATATTTCAAGATCATTTCTTCTTGGTTCGCAGACGAACTGTTTCTCAGAGTCCATGGCATCATCCAACTCCCCTGGTGGGACAAGTGTATAGATAAAAGTAGAGGAGTGCACTGGGATTCAAGAATCCCACACGTCACTCTCCACACATAGGGGAATAGTAAGCACCCCTATCCACCAAAAAGGGCAAAAGGGCGGGCCGTTGGTGTGATAAACTGGCCGAAGTAGTGCAAAAAAGGAGATCATACAAATCTTGGCAAGCGTTCCAAGAACGGACCTGAAATGGATCCCAGCTTTCGTCCACATCGAAGCTTGAAGTTTCCTTTTTTTGATGAGCTTGCTTTGTAGTCTAAATTTCCTCTCGAAGAAATCTAAGATAATCCTACTATGTCCTACTCCTTTCTGTGTCCATCTCACCCATTCACCAGCAAACTCATGATCGACTGTAGCTGGTCTAATCCTGATTTTTCTGAGGAGGGCCATTGGGGAGTCAATCACCAAGTCAAAGTAGAACTTGGCTGCTGGGTAGAACTTAGAACTTGGTTGTAAACTGATACGTAAATTCAAGGAAGTAAAATGGCTGATGGCATACATATAAATAACTTACATCTTGTAGATTCATGTGAATTCATTGGCTACAAGGCTGGCCAATTCAAGGATCCAATCCAATCCAGCCCTCCCAGTCTCCAGTCCCCATCACCGAGGAAGGCGGGCTTTCCCCAGGAGGCGCTGAACGAGATCCACGGCGCCTGGTTTGATCCCTCCAATCCGGTGGTCCCCATGCGCCTCGGACACCGAACGTGTCGACCGTGGCCGCTTCTTCTGGCGTCCAAAGTCCAGTGGCCGGGCCTAGGCGCCTGGCTAGGCAGCGTCATTAGGCGCCTTCCAAAGACCTTCTCAAAAAGGGATGTGGGACGGAAGAACCTTCCAAGATGTGTTGCATGTCACATCCAAGTTGTGACATGTCTTTTTTCATCCTGAGTTCTTCGAACGGGGGACAGTCCCACACGTCACGTCGCAGCCCGGTCCTTCAGGAGCGGCACCTTGAGGGAAGATTTGATGTCTTGGCTTCTCGAGTCTCGGCTTTCTCCGTGAAGGTTCCGGAATCGTTTGAGGAAGTGGTTCAAAGAGTTTGGGGGGGAATCTGACCTGATGGGGGGGCCAGATTCCGGCCTCTCAGATTACTCTCAGTGGCGCGTGGACAAGGCGTTTTGCTGCACTCGAAAGAGCCAAAGTCTTGAAAGCTGTGAGATCAACTGCAGATTCGCAGAGCACGGGGTTGCCTCCGTTGGTCGGAACTCTGGGGTGGGAATAGGAACCTACGCACAAGCTGGAAGCCTACTGAGCCTTTCTAGGATCGACAGACACAATCGTCAGACTTGATTTGATAGAGATTTGCATCCGATCCTTCTGGATTCAAAGGTCGGGTTCAGTCTCCAAAAATGCATGCTGCAATGCTTTCTCCAGCTTGTACCATAGCAATTACCTCACACTGAGACGTGATGTGTATTTTGGTCGGAGGAGGACATGAGGGACGAAGAACGACTGATTCACAGTGCTTCCGCCCCGGAAGCTCCGTGAATCGATGTCCACCTCACGAAACGCCCAGATGGGTCGACGTGCATGCTGAGATGGGCCGAACGGTGTGTCACTGTGCCACTTCGAGGACCGGGGAAGGACCAAGAACAAGACGCAACAGCCAACAGTACAGCCCAATTAGAAAGCACCAGCCAAAGCAACTCAGCAAGGATAGTGGAAGTCGGCACCATTGGCACCTCCCATCCACGATCAGAGCTGCTGACTCATCCGTTATGTTTTTCTTTGGAACTTCTACCATTCCTCACAGCCGCTGTGTCACAGCCTCCAGAAAAGGGGGGGTGGGACTTTGCTTCACCCAAAGCACCGGGGGCAGCAAATCGGGCAGCTTCATCCACTGGGGCCCACCGTCTCAGGAGTGGGAGACCCGCTGTGACTTGTGCTTGGCCTTGGGCACCTCGATGGTGGGCATGCAGCCTGGATCCGACCAGGGGGGGAGGAGGAAGGACGGGGAGGACGGGGCACTGGGGGCGAGTCAAAGGGATATCCAATGGAGCATTCCATCATAGAGAGAGATGTGTTGTTCTATTATCTCAAAGAGTCTTGTCATGACATGCAAATGTATACAGATAGATAGATAGATAGACTTGGATAGACTTGGACAGACTTGGACAGACTTGGATAGACTTGGATGGACTTGGATGGACTTGGATGGACTTGGATGGACTTGGATGGATGGCTGGCTGGCTGGCTGGGTGGCTGGGTGGATGGATAGATAGATAGATAGATAGATTATGGTAGATCTCAGTGATATTAGCCAACCCACCATATTTGGTAGTTTGTTTCAACTATGCCTCAACATGGGGGCGAGCATCAAAAACGCCAAGAGTCGCACCTCGTTGTGCTTGTTCGCAGCTCCCTCCAGCTCAGCCTCCCACGGCGCCCCAGGAACTCCGATCGCATGGCCATCGCCGCGGCGCAGCGCGCGAAGGCCGGGCAAGGCCTGGGCACGGTGATCGCCGCTCGCCGAACCGCGGCGACGTCCGTGCGGCGCGGGGTGGCGACGAGCGGCGTGAGGTGTTGTGAGGTTGAGGTTGTAAAGAGCCTTCTTTTTCCGCTCGATTCTGACAAGGTATTTCGCGGCCGATGGATAAGTCTCCAAAAAATCATTCAGGTGTGCCTGATCATACCTGTACAGTGTGGTTGTATGTGTTTGTATGATTTTGTATGTGTATACATGTTCATTATAATGGTATTCGTATGGGAAAAGTAAGGAATCAAAAAAGCAGTGGATCGATCCGTTTAGCAAGCAGTTTGAGAAAGACCAGACCCCAAACAAACCGTCCAGGCCCGCTATGGCATATTGGTGTGTTTGTATATACAGCATATAATTAAATATGTTATATAGCATGTATGTTTGGGAACATATTGGGACCATTTTTCCCATTGGTGGAGGGCAAATCCGTTGGAGACGGCAATGAATATATATATATATATATATTATGATTATATATATATAGAGAGAGAGAGAGGGAACCTCTCCGAGTTGCTCAAGTGATTTTGTGCGAGAGAGGAGCGCCATGTCATGTCATATTCTGAAGTTCCTCCAATAACAATTTGCAGCTTATGTCCGGGTCCTTTAGAGGCATTCTGGTTGGTTTGTGGTCGCCCCGTGACCTACAAGAAGAGTGGTTCCACTGAATCCTGGGATAGGTTGTCAGAGGTAGGCGACAAAAGCATGCAGTGAAGAGGAAGCAAGATGAGAGACTGAATCCATTCAGCAAACATCTGCTTGGTATCAGACACAAACAGAAAAAAACATGAAAGAACAATTGTTGTTTCTTTCTGCTTTTTTACATGGCGTTTTCGTACAATTGGTAGGTAGACTGGATCTCACAGCTCCATGCACCGCCACTTCCTAAGGTAGCCCTGCAGCAGACGCAATACGACGCTAGATGAGTGAACTGGGGCGCCGGCTGGGACCGGGCCAAAGGCGTTGGATTTAGCTGGGGCGAATGAAAAGGAGAGGGTTTTATAATGTTTTATCATAATCAAGTTATATAGGGAGTCTATTTTTGGACTCTGGACAGGTTTGTTTGGGAGATCGGGAGGGTCTTCATAGTTTGGGCAGTCTCCTTGACACATCTTTGCAGAAGAACAGCTCTCTTGTGTCTCACCTAACTGGGCCAAAACGGAAACGGACATCACATGAAATCACTGGAACATGCGAAGCTTCTGGCGCTGTTTCTTCCCATCCGTCCTGAGATCGAGTTGTGCCTTTTCTCTTTGAGTTTTCAAGAGCCGGGGGCTTGGGCAATTGGTGCCGGTGGCTTGGGCGTTCAGCCCGGCTGAGGATAGCGCTTCATCCTTGCGGATCTTTGCACCCATTGATCCTCGTGGTAAGAGACAGTGGAAGAGAAGCGATGACCGGGCAAGAGCGACCGAAAAATCACTGTTGTGTTTCTCTTTTTTCTCGACTTCGCCATCCGTGGTGTCAGATTGTCCGATTTTCTTAGACCGGAATAAGATGCAATAATGAATCAGATGTCGACGCTGAAATACAAGGGGTGTAGTACAGTGTACATGCAGCTCTGTGCGTCGGCTTTGTTCTCAGGACAAAGTCATGTCACTGCTTGCTGAAGAGATGCGCATAGACCTTCCCGCAGCTCACTCTCCAGCGCCGGCTTCGACATCGTCCATGGCGCATGTCTATGAGAATCTCCCATACACTAAGGACTGACCAGTTCACAGAAATGGAGTGTGGGTTGGGGGTGATTTGGGCTGCCAAGCTAAGCACCATCCCAGTGCATGTCCTGAGAATGCAAAAACCCACTTGTTCAAAAAACACGGTTCGTCATGTCCAAAACCCGGTTCTTGCAAAAAAGACCTTTGTTTTGGCCATAGTCTGGAGCCCTTGGTATCAGTTGTTTTGAGAGTTTTGAAGGAATCTCCCGCAGCTCTGGCCCCCGCGTTTTGTGTACACAACGACAGCTCGAGCTCCGGAAGAGAGGGATCGAGGAATGATGTAAGTGGGCATAGGTGATTGACTGAAGATTTCCAGGGTTTCTTCCAGTTTCTTCCACAATCTATAGTTCTCCCATGTTCTCCCTTTCCCAGTCAGTGATCTGGCACTCTAGGTGTCTTCCAAGTGATCTACGAGTCTCTTAATTCTGATGCACACACCTTCCTTCCGCTGTGGCCTCCGGTCAAAACAGAACTCTAGTCTATGACAGATGAGATCAGATGAGTTGTGGTGGCATGTTATGTCAACTTGACCCGATGGATTTGTGGATTTGGGCGACCACAAAGATTGGCCGTAGAAGCTGATGTACTGCAGTCTTTGCTTCCCAAACTCGGGCTGTGATCCTCTTTTGAATTTGTGTTCGAGGATCATGAGCTTGATGTAATATATGCTTTATTCATCTCTTCGTGGCACAGCAAGTTGCAGCCCATGTCTTTTGGTGTCAAGGAGGTTGATCGAGGGAGAAAGGAAGCAGTTGCTGCGGCAGTTGCTGCGGCAACTCCGGACGGTTGGGTGGGGGTATCTTCGAATGGACTATGGTTGTATACCCTAGACTTCTAAAGACTCTATTTTGCTCCACTGAAGTAAAGCATATTCCTTTTCGGGTCACCTAAAGACCATTCTTTTAATTTGATAGTCTTTGACTCCCGGGGTATATGTCAATGTATGTATATGTCACTTCCGTGCCTTTGTAGGGGTCGATGATTCCTGGTCAAACGCTGCTGTTGCCAGGATTTGGTAAAAACGAAGAAGATGTGTTGTGCACAAGAGCGAAATGCTTTCATGCGTTTCCACTGCCGCATCACCATCACCAGGATGGCCTCAGAAGCTCCACCAGCACCATCACCTTGGACTTGAGGGAAGGCGTCAAGGCCACGGGCGTTTTGGGGCGGTCTTGGGGTGCGGATGAGTCCAGATCAACTTCCCATCTCCCATTCATCCCACCCGAGGAAGAAATTGCACAAGATCTGATATGTGTAAATTCCATTAAATTCCCATGGCTTGGGTGGGAGAAATGGCTCTACTGTGGGGCTATACTGGCGACCGCGAGACATGAGACATGAGGCCAACGGGCCGTTTCACGGCCCTGGATTTCTCACGAACATCCGGAATGAAGGGAGGTTCCGTCCAAAAACGCCATCCATCCGGCCCATTTCTGAAAAACGTCACTTCCCTCCTTCACTCGATTGGAACTCGCTACTTTGGGCTCCTTCATGGTGGTCCGTGGACGTCGGTCACGTCGGTCCGATGTAACGGTCGACCCCTCACATCACACGAAGAAACACCGATGTGGTTGGAACGAGGAACGGTGGTTGGATGGCCAAAACACCGGCTTCGCCTTTCGTTCCCAACACCTCCAAAACCTGAGGTACGCTTGGTGAAGCAACAGCCTTGGGATCAGGAACGCTGGGGCAACGAAGGCGTCGTGCTCCCTGAGCACCTCGGCCACCGCCCTCCCAGGGCGTGCATGGAGTGGGGTGGAATGTGAGGAACTTCGGGGTTTCAACTTCAGTAACTTCAGGTTGGTCATGCATACATGGTCATACTATGTCATTACAGGTCATTGCAGGTCATACCGGATCCTTTTTGTTCCTGTGTTGTCCTATGTTGTCATTGGTTCTCTCATGTTCGCCGCGTTCTGATGCCCAAACCTGCTAGTGATCCGCGGTGAGTGTTGAACCAGCCTTCTCCGAGGCAAGACTCCTTGAAGGAGAGGCCCCCGGTCCCGGCCGGGACCCGCTGGGACGGTCCCCGGGCACCCGCCGGGGATTGGGATCCGCCGCGCAGCGTTTCCCAGCTGGGTCCTGGAAGCGAACAGCGAAGCTGTCGAACCTTTTTTGAGGTAGCTGAGCTGATAGCTGTTGTATTTGTTGAAAGAAGTGGCTTGTGTCACGTGTCCACATGGTGGAGGGTTGGTTCATGGTAAGTCACTTGGGCATCTCACCTTCACCCAGGTCCCCTTGGGACTGATGTTTCCTGATGTTCCCCTACCGTGCTGGAAGGTGTTCGATTGATTCTCCAAGAAGAGACCAAGTAGATCATTCAGATTCTGGAAGAAGTGGAGGATGCATAATAGAACATGTTCTCCATGAAGATCCCCAAGTTTGGAACATGTGTTCGATTCTCTTACCACTAGACCAGAAGTCGAAGGCATCTCTGAGCACTTCATCCTTCACCAGGAAGAGAAACACTATGCCATCGCAGTGGGATCAGGCCCTGTGCGTGTGCTGGGCCTTTGGTGGTTAGAGGCTGCCCAGAGAGGTGCCATACCGGTCACTCGTCTCAGCCATTTCGGCCGGAAGTCGCGGGGGAAGACCTGCACAGAACATGGTTGACCAATTTGAGGTTGAGAATCCGAGCACCATCCGAATACCCCCAAGGCTTCTTTCACCACCCTGGAAGACATTCGGAAATAGAACGAAGCAATGAGTCACTGGGGGGGGGGAAGTCATGGTTGTTCACGTTCTTCTTCGCGTAAGGTGCACCCGAAACACATCGGTCGCCATCGAAGCAAAAAGGTCTAACATCGGGTTTGTCCAACCCTGCAACCGTCGGGTTACAGTTGTTGGGTCCTCTCACGGCCCCATCGTCCACGCAGGAACTGGTTGCTCGGGATATACCGTCTTGGTCTATGAGGTCGAGTGGACTGTCGATACATGTGCCGATACTTGTGCAAAGCCACACCGCCCTGAATACAGAGTTCAGTTCTGAGGACGTGCTAAACAAGAACGACAAACCCCCGTCAATCACCTGGTTCACCCTATTCCCAAAGCCAGGTGTTTTGTGGATGAATACTACTCAATATGTCAGGAGGCCTTTTGCTGTAAAGTTATAAAGCCTCTCCCATCAAAGATCCTTTCGAAGCATCCTGGAGTGGAGGGCGGTCTTCGGAGTTCGGCATCCCTGACAAGTCGAAAGGTCACATGACTCCAGGACGGTGGCACGGTGACACCGGTGGCGTGACGTGAAAAAACTCAGGCCCTGCCGGTGGTGAATTGCGACCCAGCCGAATGAGCATGAAACATATCCAATTCGAAGAGGCTTCGCAGACACACAAGCGTGAAGCCACTAGCTGAGAGCTCAGACAGTATAGGAGCATGATAGCCCGCATGTGTAGTTGTGCGGTTGCGGGCCTGCCGCAGTTTCAAGGGGGGCTGGGCGGTGGACCAGTTTTAATCTCCGATGGAGATGAACAAGGTGGTGCCTAGTAGTGCAAAAGTTCAATGACCCCATACGTACCAGGGCATTTACATGCATTGACTATAACAGGTTTTGTGGATTTGATATATCCTGCAGGGGTCACAGGGGACCACCTTGGCGAACATCGCCGCATGGTAGCATTGTACAGGCATGCTGCTGGCAACCTTGCACATCGATCTGGATGTTGCTGCACTCCAGCTGTGGACATCGTCGCATCTTAGAAATGGATACACATAAACTATAAGTGTTGTACTAGTAGCTTCTTGCTACTAGTAGTAAGGGCCTCGAACCTAATAGCGATGGTCTCCAACCTAGTAGCTTCTTGCTACTTGTAGCTTCTTGCCCTATATGAAAATATAAAATAAACGGCTCTTGGGATTGAATGCCGCCGCGTTCTGGGGCTCAGGCACATCTCCATGTAGGGAATTTTCGGTGTAGAAACTGCAGCCGACCCTCGGTCACCCCCTGGTGTAGCTTTCCTTAAAGGACCATGCGATGAACTCGTGGAAGACCTGTGAGTGGTGGATGCGAACTCGCAGCCTCTTCGGTTCGTAGACTTGGAGACCAAAGTCGACTCAGGACTCAGGACTCGGTGGGTTGGACACTTCGATCCCGTAGCTATCCTTTGATACCAACGAACCTCATTCTCCGACGGTGCACAGAAAAAGACCTCACAGTGGACCTCCCAGGCCTTGTCTCTCTCTACGGGTGCACGGTGAAGGACCAGATCGGCGAACTCGGCGAACTCGTCTCTACCCGGTCGGGGCTAGAGCTCCTATTCAAGAAACACCGGGTGTATGTGACTTCGTCTCCTATCCACGATAGGAGACGTCTCGTGACCAGGGTGAAAAAACGCATTTGCATGCGTTTGCCATGAAGTGATCATGAACATCCTACAACTTCATCAGAAAAGGGCTCCTCCTCAGCGAAGATGCTCTTCGCTTGATCAGTGACACTTGCACGCTTTTGGGCGGCAAACTTTTCGGTTTGAGGTGTGATCTCCATGAATCACTGACTTGGACCAGACAAAACTGCCGCACGGTCAGGAAGCCGAGAAAACCAATGCCCAGCAAACACATCACGGAATCGACATGGATTCTCCGCCGCGCCGTTCGTCGAAGCGCGGTTCATCAAACATGGAGGTTTGTGTCTGCTATACGCGACCAAAAACAGTGCAGCTTCAAATAACACAAAGATGTACAGGGAATCCTAACAGCCATCGATTGTGAGATACGACTGGTTTGTTGATTCAGACGGTTTTTCATTGCGGAAATGTGTTGTGCAGCTGTGCGCACCTGCTATTCAAAATTGAAGATCCAGCTAAAGATGTTGGTAATCCACGTGTTCTTCTACATTCTGCATGTTACTAGTGTTTGGATTATTGTTCTTCTGCTTCGGAAAGTCTTCGGTGTGGCCATGGTGAAGGAGCGCCATGTGCAGTTCAAAAGTGTGGCTCCTTGGAGTAACATCAGAGCAAGTGCGGGTTTCTTTTACAACCGGCTATTAGGTTGGAGGCCATTGCTATTAGTTTCATCATGTTTCATTTGTTGTGAAGGAAGTCGTCATTCCGAAAGCCGACCGGACATGACAAAGATGGAGCAGCATGCCCAGCCACCATTCCCAGTGTGTGCTCCCACAGCCACGCGCACCACAGCAACTTCTTCGTTGTTTTGCTCCCAAGAGCCTCAAGAGCCTGGAATGGGTGACACCTCCAATCCACTGGGTGACACCACTGCTCCAATCCTAGCGGATAGCAGTTCACCGGACGGAACACCAGCATCCCAGGCTCTTCGGTGCCTTGGAAGGACACGTTCCAACTTTGCCAGAAAAAAAAGAATCTACATGCATTTAGGCTCATCTAGCTTGAACCGGGTGTCTTCCAAATAGCAAGTGGGTGTTTGATTTGGAAGACACCCGGTTCAGGCCAGATGAGCCTATTTGTAACAACGAGAACACGTAACCAACAATGACGATTAGTAATACCCACTAACATGGAAGTGGAAAATGGTCACTTGGAAGACTACTTTCCTCTACCAACAAGGGGTGCCATCCACTTCCATGTGATGTGTTCGTCAGAGTGTCCTTGTACAGCGAATTGGTTCATCCTGCGCCTCCACTTCCTGGGCTACGCCCCAACTCCTGGTCGGCCGGCTTTTTGTGTCCCAGGATGACGCCTGGTGCTCGGACTGGCACTGGGATTCGCCGGAGGCACCGGAAGGAGCCCATGGGCCCAATGGGCCCCTGGTCTTTCTAGGCTGCCACTAGTGGCTGTTCTACCCAGAGGCTCATGGACCCTCATACGGAGGGGTCGGACCTTCACATGGAGGCGTCTGGGGGATCAAATCCCTAGGTTTTGAGGATTTTGAGGGACCAAGGGCTGTTCTAGTGGCTGTTCTTTCAGGGAACGTATGGGTAGCTGAGGATGGCTGAGTTTTTTTGAGAGCGAGGACAAAGCCGCATCGGACACCTGGTCGGAGCAGCCACAGCCACACAAAAATCCCAACTGGTCACACATGCGCATGGAACCTCACAGAGATCGCAAAAAAAAGCAAAGTAGTGCGTATTTTCTCGGCGTATTAGACCGAGTCACTGTGACTCCGCTTTCGGACGATTTTGCTGCGAATGGCCCACCTTTGAACCGAACCGAGTATATTAGGCTACGGGGCATTACCATGAGCTTGCATGCAAACTGCAACGTCGTTGCTGTTGGGGTACAGTAACTGTGTTTATGTTGGGTGTGAAAATTCAACACGTTGCCACCCGTGACAATTCTGTCGAACGAGGAGTCAACAAGGAGCGTTGGGTGAGGTTCCAAGAGGAGGTGAGCCTCACTGTCAAGAACAACGGACCGAAGGGGGGGCGTGGTCGACGGGTGTGTGTGTGTGTGCATTATATACATATATATATATATTTGTGGGGCGGTGAAGGGGTGGAAAGCAGCGGAGATTTGGTGCTTCATGTTGGATGGAATGTTTGATCATGTTTGATAGAATTTCACCTGCCATGGGTTTAGTTCAGGTTACCGGACCTTGTTGCATGGCGTTGTATGCACTTTGGACCAAGCAAGCATGGTGGACCGTTTGTTTGCTCTGGAAAACAAGAACGGTGTGGCTAGAGGCTGGAGGGGCAGCTCGGGACACATCCCTTGACATTGGCGATGAAAGGATGTCCAACACCCGAACTGATGGTTTTGGAATTGTTGTTATTTTTTGTTATTTTTTCTGAAGGATGGTTTGTTGGATGCTTCATAGAGGGGCACTCGCAAGTGAAGGTATCCTGGATTGATCTTAAAAGCGAGGTTGGGGGTGCCAAAGGCACCCCACGACTCAGTCGCCACATCGGTCGACCCCACTCACAACGGCCTTTTCGGTGTTCCCATCGACTCACAACAGCAGCTCCGTCTCGATCTCGGTGTGTTCGGTGTTCGCAGGAAGGCGGCAGGCCGCTTACGTTTTTGGGGGCGTGGTTTTTGCTGCTTTCATCGTTGCAGCAATTCTGACTGCTATAGGCGGGAAGGGGTGCAGGAAGGTCGCTGGGGGGCGCTGGTGGTGGGAATGCGAAGTCAGGCTTCAGCAGCTGGCTCAACACTGTCCAAGTGGTGCAGAACTGTATTGACATAATAACCTGACACAACAATGTATAATTACATAATATATGTTTTAAAAAATAAGACAACACATAATTAAACAGGATTCAGGATCAATACAATGCCACTTTAGGAGAGGCTTTTTGGAGCTGTCACCTCTTGCCATTGTAACATGGCACTCAGTAGAGGCAGATGAGCACCTCTAGGCCAGTTGGCCACTATAGGGCATGAAACTGTTTCTTTTCTTGACCTCTTTTTGTTGACCCCAGCTTTAAATGCTCCGCAACATGAAAAACAGCGGCCCACACTGCAACCCCCCTGAGCCGCAGAAAAAAAATAAACTCAACTCCCTGGGACAGAGCGATGTGCTGCCGGGGGATGTCGGAAGATGGGAACATCGTTCCGGGTGCCTACCTAAACCATCCTATAACCCTTTAGATATGAAGTCCTTCTAAGATAACCCATAATCCCTTTTAGCCATCGAAATTGGAGCCTATAGCAATACTTTGATCACGCGTCGTCAGTATTCCATCACGAGTTCCATGTTTGTTTCGGCTTTGTCGACGTTCGAATCGTTTGGACGCGGCGTCCAGGTGTATCATCCAAAAAAGAGACGTCCTCACCCTTGAGGTGGGGAAACCCAAGGAGGTTCCAATTTCCAACCACCTCATCTCCAAAAATCACCAGTCAGGGACAGATGGGACAGGTGGACCGAAACTGTCTGTGTTTTTCAGGGTTTTGCAGCAGCCGTTCACTCCAGGAGGCAGTTCTTTTTCACACTGCAGCCAGCACTTTTTGGAGCTCATCCCAGACCATGGAGCTCATCGGGCACCAAAGGGCGAGCGGAGCCCTGGTTGATTTCACTCAACGGATTCGTGACAGGTCGCTTCACCAGGACGGTGATACCCAATACCAATATGGCCAAGAGTTGTTCATTTCTACACCCGCTCCACCCGTCGGTGTCATCGCACGTCCTCTCCTCCTAACTCCTCTCCCTCTTCTTGCGTTTTCGTCTTACGGGACCACTTCACCGATGAGCACATCGGTTCTCATCGGTTCCGTCCACCGGCAGCTTCTTCACGCTGCCAGGCTGCTTCTTCACCTTGACCGAGGCGGCGACCACGGCCTTCGTAGTGGCGCTCACCACAGGAATGTGGGACGGGTCGTCCCGCGCGGAGGGCAGGGCGACGGTTTAGGGGGGGTAGACTGAAGCTGGTGGGTATAGACTGGGGACTGGTGGAGAAAAGACTGGACACGCAGGTTCAAGAGGCTTTTGCTTGTAGTTCAATCATGTTCCATCGAGATGTTAGGAAGGTGACTACTCCAGAAGTAAGATGGGTTAAATATGGTTAAATATGTTTCAATGATGCTTAAATGAAGCTTCTTGCAAGGTGCAAACAAATCAAACGACGACGACCACGTCACGACGACCTCCAGGGTGTTTTGGGTTCGGACTTCACGGTGCCGGTGTCCGAATTCGTACCGACGGGAGTCGGCCAATTCGGATGAGGTGTGAGATGGTGTGACGGGAGTCGGCCAACAGAGGTTGAAGGATCTGAACTAGACTATCCCAGTTCGGTACCCCAGGTTACGGTCCTATAAGATAACTTAACCTCTCTTGGGGGGTCCTGAGAGGGGCCCCTCCAGGTGTGAAAAGCTGCGCACAAGGGGAGTCGGACCTAGGTACATGTATACCCCACACCTGGCCTTGGGGTTCATGGGTGTCAACATGCTCGATTTCAGTGAGTCCTGATCAACACATATCAAAATGCTGGAGCGCTCCACACCACCGCAAACTCACTCTTCGCACCTGCACCGGCCGAACACGCCCAGCCGCCAGCCTTCTACACCTTCCACAACACACCCTACGGCGGTCTCCTTTCGACACTGTCACAACACCCCTCCGGCTGGGGGAACATCATGTTCAAAAAACCGATCTTCATCCCGAAAATGTTTCCCTGGCTGCGAAGCAAGCAAGCTCTGGCTCTTCCTTTTGGCCCTGAATTTTCAATAAGGCACCTGACCTGACATGGCAGGCCCTTTGAACGGAACTGCTGAGAAGTCAAACCAAAGCGCCTTCACTTCAGGAAGTGCACTCTGTGGATGCTGCGGCGCTTACATCTTCACCTTCTACTGCATGAACACTTGCGCCTTCTCCAAGGCCCTGCGAACTCGACGAAGACGCCTGCGAACGGAATCGGAAGGGGTCGGAAAGCGCCGTCGCGAATTGACCTGTGGCAGGACACATGTCTCCACATGTGGGACATCCGGGGAGCTGCTCAATTCGATTGTCGGATCAAGATTCTCCAGGTGTTCCACCATCGGGGAATTGCTACCATCGGTGGCATAATGTGGCATCGAACATCCCGTGGACGCTGAGTGAACAAGTCATGTGTGGTGCATTGTGGTGCCGAGGTCAGTTTACAACTGTCGAGAGTTGACATTTCCTGCATTTGCTCATCATAAATGGCTCCAGCTTTTAGCCCGTGCGTTTTTCACCATAGGCGTGGTCTCGAAGCCCAAGAAGATGCAGAGATCCTCAAACATGGCCTCAGATCGAGCCTCAGAGCCTCATAGAGCCTCCGAAATCCATCTCAAGTTTGCAATCAGCGTAGCTTAAGGGACTCTTATTTTGGGGGGAGTTGCCCTCTCTGGTTCCACATGGTTTTTCGGTGGAATCTGGCAGTACCAGCTTAGCGAAAGCAGCTCGACAAGCTCTTCAGGTGGAAGAGCTTTGCGACAGCTTGACTTCGGAGCATGCCCACTGCCACATCAAGGTGTCTTGGAATGCTTTCGAAGCCATTCTTGATCAGGTTTTGCTGTTGCTTTCTCCCTCCCAAACTAAGTGTGTGAACAAACAAGAACCGTTTAGCAGCTCACTTGGTAGGTTCACATCAAAGAGGACCTGCTGAATCTAAGTTGTTTCATTTGTTTCTATGTTATGTTTTTTTGTTTTGTACTTGTCATTGAATCAAGAGTCTTTGCTTTCCTTTGATTTGAGCTTCTGATGGACCAGAGATGTAGCCGAGAAATGCCGAGAAGAGGTATAAGATTCATGGTATTTTGATTTAGGATCTTATCAATACATTTGAACCATGGGAAAGGAGATTGAAAAAGAGTTATGACCTGTTGGGTGATCAAGGATCAGAGGGTCACGTCATGTCATCTCTGATGTGGTGCTAGACGTGTCGCATGACGTGGGACCCACGTGTCCCACACCGTCCGGCCTCAAAGGGGCTCAAATCCCGATAGGAAGGGCCAAACATCTGCCCTTTGAAGCGCGCTGCCCAAAGCACGCGTGCGCTTGGAGCACCTTTGTGATTTGGTGTGTGTGCTAGAACAATGATGTGTCGTGTGGTGATTCGTGGTGTGGTGGAGCATGTTTGTTGCTACTGTTCTCTGGCAGGCTATGCAGTTGACGACTTACACTTCCTAAAATGGCTGATTTTGGAAGTGGGTATCAACCGCTATTTGCAAGGCTCATTTTTGTACCTGCTTGAGGCACCTTAAAATGAGCCAACTGCATGGATATGCTATGGATATGCTGGGCAAACACCTGCTAGGCAGCTGTTGCGCCCCACTCGTCCCACGCCCACCAATCGTCCCACACGTGACTGCGACGTTCTCTTCAAAATCTCACTCGGATCTTTCGGATTGTTCAGCGTCTCATGGAAGCCTGACAGCGCATCCCCGTCCTACCTGGTTCTTCTCTACTTGGCCTTAAGCCTTGAGGGGATCACTTTGAGAAGAACCGTTCTCCCATCAGGAAGCGTTTCCTCGAATGTAATTGGGTGTACCCAGCATGCCCTTTGGCTGGGTGTACCGTGTTTCATATTTAACCCGTGTACGACATCAGGAAGTTCAGGTTGTTTTATTGAGACAGCATAGGAGGGCAGGTTGTCGATGCATTTTGGATGGCTGACTAAGATAAGGAAGTAGAATGCACCCGTTTTGATCTGTTATAAACTTTTCGGAGCTACCAATATGATCGATTTGCGTGGAAGAAATCAAACCTTGACAATGTTAGATCCATCTCAATAGGCCAAAGTCCTGCCTGTCAGGCTATAAAACACAGCAGTGTCAAACAGTGGTCAACAGAAACATACAGAAACTAAGGAATCTAGCACTTCCAAAGGGTGCCCTGGAGTAGGAGACCTGTTTACATAGGGTAGGGTAGTCGAAAGCCAGGACACCCAGACTAGATGATCCTGGAAGAGACCGTTTTGCATCACTTCCATCGTGGGGCTCTGTGAGCTGAGGTGCGATTGACCGATAAGAAGTTTGGCCGCCAGGACCATTCGGTGACTGTCGAGCGGACGAGGGGCACAGGTATACATGGTTTTACAGTTTTAGATGTTATTTGATTGGAATTGATTGGAATGGCTGGAAAGGTTTATAATAATATACTGTATACTAGTAACTTCCTTTGCACACACTGTGACGAACCCTATCATTACACCTTGTTTGAGGAACATGGGAAGCTCTTCCCCCCTTTGAACCCTACATACTTGTCATGTGTGCCACAATGTACCACATGACACAGTTGGATTTCTACACCTGAAAGCCTGATAAGATCTCACCATAAGTCTTGCAACCATTTTTATGAATATAAACGGGTGTGGACAACGGTGCAATGGACCGCAGGTATTGTGTAAAACATATCAAGACGCTCAAACAGTATGGCATCTGAAGTATATAGGTGATCCTGACTTACAATGCTATTTCATGTTGCCACGCCCAGACAAATCATGGATTTCGTTGCTTGCTTTCGGAATCTTCAGGGCTTCGTTCCCACCGGCTTTGATGCTCAATGTGTCGTTCATGCATCGCTGACTCACATGCCGTTCGAGAGCGACCGCACGCTGCGGGGTCGTTCGGAGTGGGACGCTGTGCCAGACGCGCGCGACTGCAAGAAGAGCGGGCAAACAACGAGGAAGCACTGTCAAAGCAACGAAGCTGGAAACGAGGAAGACAAGAACTGCAAAGTCCGCAAAGTGGATGTCCCAGAAATCTGACAAGAACGTCTCCACTGAAGGCTTGACCCTTCACAAGTCTGCACAAACAGGGGGGTTGCCGAAATGCAGAAACAACAGGTGTCAACCACGTGTCGGGGTGGTGGCAGGGAATGGATCGTATGCTTCTGGTTCTTTGAGCCCATTATGGATCGTGCTCTTTCCCGATGGAATCGTTTTCGCCTCGGGTCATGCCCTTCCTCCCCAACTATTCACGATCTATATACACTATATTGTCAAACAGGTTCCCTTTTGCAACCCCAGGCAGTTTGCTTGGCCCCTTTTGCAACGCCAGCTTGAAAGAATTTCACCTTTGATCACTGGACAGCGCCAGCTAGGTAAAGGCACAACTCAAGGAGTGCATTCCCTCGCCTCAAACCATATCAAACCTAGAAATGTCTAAAGACCATTTGCGTGTAGACATGACCGGTGGCTGCAATTTTGCGCGTTTGGCGTGTAGCGCAGCATGTTCTGTCTTGGAACGAAGTCCTTCCAACACTTGACCGAGCAGCCTCAAAACATTGACAATTATTGTAAAACAAAAACAAAGTTCTGACAGCTGTTGGAAAGGTATTGATTCGTATTGATTCTTCCTTGTACGTACCTCTATGAACCATTTGAAGTCACAGTGGCCGCCAACAGATGCGCTGAAGATTGCAGAACGGCAAGGTGGCCCGGCACCGAAGCCAGGCCATCATTTCTTTCAGTACAAAGACAGAGTAAACGACTAAAGCCTCTTGGTTGGAAGGTCTCGCTTTTCTTCATAGAACCCAGGAGATAGTTTGTTCAGGCTTTAGAGGAGAACCATTGTTGCCTGCTATATACTGTATTTCACAAGAGCTTCTGCACCTCCCACACGAAATTGATGTCACAACACCACGTAAGAAGAAAGAGCTTTCTTCACTTAAGGAGTGGCTGCTGAACTAAACACCCAAGCAATGGTAATTAGTGGCAGCAGTCTTTCCCAGTCTTGGAGAGATTCCCTCTGGAAAGCACATCGACAGACACTGGCCATCGCTGGACATCTTGGGTTGATTCAAAGACCAGGACTTTCGGAAAGTCATTCACATCATTGAGTACAACGTGTCTGATGCTGCAGCCCAGGCGGGCACGGTGGTGCCGTGGGGACGGAGATTAGCTTGACCTGGTCAACAGGACAAGTTGAGACACGCCGAGTGAAACGGTGTTGTCGATGAGTGGATAGAAATGACCTGAAGACCATCAAAGACCACTGACTTGGGTGTTGCCTTTTGGGCTCAGCGTAGGAAATATGATGACTATAGTATAATTGAACATCCCATAGAAGTGGTGACAACCGCATGCCAGTATCATGAATCTTGTGTTTGGTGTTTTGGGAGCTGCTTGCTAGGACTATTTCTGATCTACGTGTTGCACCCCTTGACTATCAAGCCTTAGTATAGGGAATAGCTTCAGTTATCCCCCTACAAGTGGCAGTCCAGAACACAACAGCTGATAACAGCTGTAGTACAGCCTCGCAACTGATTTCGACTTCGCTGGGTGGTGAGACAGCCAAAGGAATATCGGAATACCCATGACTTCTGCAAGATTTGGTTACAATGTTGTGAACTATTGTGAATACACTCAGATTTCTGTAGGATTTCTTCCAGCAGCACTAGGAAATTGCTGCGGATGTGTCGATTTGTTTCCCTGTTTGAAAAGAAGATGATCTATGGACACCCAGTTGCCCAACATAGTCCCACATGTTAAAAGTCGAAAACTGCCCACACCGCGGCCACTCCGACCACCCGACCACCGCGGTGGGGACCTGCCGACCTCGTCGATCCGAGACCTTTCTCTCTGACAGGATCCAGAGGCGCAGATCTTGGGGAACGAAACCAACCAGGTCGCCTGGCATGGTCAGGTCGTCCGAAAACGTGCTCCACCACACCCGTACGAAACACGGAGGGATGGGTGGAGCACCCGTCGAAACACTGGGGTTTTGGTAGACCGACCCTGCTGATTTCACGGGTTTTCCATGGGTTTTCCAGGTGATCCCCGTGGTGGTGTCTTTGTGCGTGGGGACTTGGTGTTTGCCAGGTTGGGTTGTTTGATGCGATCGTCTTGGGTTCCGCGGTCGTATGCGATGCCATTTAGAACATCGAGGCATTGGCGAAACTTGGACTAACACATCACATGGAAAATGGATTAGGAGCAAGAAGCTACTAGGGGCTCCTGGCCTTACTACTAGGAGCAAGGAAGCTACTAGGGGCTTCTGGCATCGCTACTAGGAGCAAGGACGCCGCACCATACATCACATTGAAAATGGATGAAAACGGTCCAAACAACTGGGCCTCCATGGCAGGGGTCCGACCCTCCATAGCAGGGGTCGGACCCTCAAAAGCCTATATGTGTTTGAGGGCCCGCGTTCTTAGAGTATGTCCAAATAGTTCTTGGAAGACAACCACTTTCCTCTACGAGAAGTAGGGGTTTCTACTTTCATGTTCGTGAGTCAGAGGGTAAGTGAGCTTTCTTGTTATGCTCTCGGCCACATCGACCTTTCGAGAACTCGCCCGATGAAAAGCCTCGTTGAACAGCAATAGTTGCATCGTTGTCACGCCTAAAGATGAGGCGGCATGTCACACAAGCCGAAATGATTCGATCACTCCGCCGTCAAACGAACCAACGAACACCGTCACACAAGCAGGTTGAAAGGACAGTCCTCCTTATAGCAAAATTGTACACCCTGAAAACCCAATGGTTTTCTCCTTTGGTATGCTGTTCAGGCAATCTCCTTTGGTCAGGCAATGTCTCGGTTTCGATCGATGGATCGACAATCCATTCTGCTCGTACATCACCGTCATTGGGCCATGGTGGGCGGGCGGAAACCAACAGAACACCTCACACGGGTTCAACGGAGGGTGTCTTCCGATTCCAGGTGCTTGAACCAGGAGACAGGCAACCAAAAGCAACTGCCCCTAGTATCCCTTTCTATCCCTTTGTTGTGATGAACTGATGAACCAAGGTTCTCATGTTCTGAATCTCCCGTTCTACAACCATGAAACCATGAAACATTATTGTATATTATGGTACTCTGGTTTTTGTTCTTGCCCCACACCTCCACCCATCTTCTCTGAGGGCAATGCGCTCAATCAACCCTCCAATGGATGAGGGTCGGCCAATTTCGCGCAGCCGCTCACCATGTGCGTCGCATGCGCACGTCGGACGTGAGCACGGCCTGCGTGCCTCTACCGACCTTGCTGCGACCAGAGGCAAGATGTTTTCGAAGATCCAAGCAAGAATGGACGAGCACGTTGTGTTTTTGTCACACCAATTGGTCGAAGGAAGTGTGTCTTCACAAGCGTACACATCCCCTAGTGAGGCATGTTCCTGGATTTGGCAAATGGCAGTAGCTGGAAGGAGAACAATGATCCCCCTCTGTTTGATGCGGTTGTTGATTGAATTAAATACATGTAATTGGACTGCTGTCCGAATCCCACCGTAAGGGGCTTCTGGTGGCTTCTGTTTTCTCTCCAAGACCGTGCCTCTTCCGGCCTTGTGCAAGGGTCAGATTTCGGCTTAAAGGCAACAATCCGATATTTCGATTAGTATTATATATGGATTGGTTGGTTTGGACCTGGGGTGCCACATTTGTAGCTACAAAATTCCCCTCCCGGGGTTGTCATGTGAATTTTACAGGGGATCCCGAAAGTATTGAGATAACTTGCCTGCAGATCCGGGTCAGACTGTGGCAAAGTCCTGTTCATCCGCTTGGAACTGATTCAGAAAGCATGAGCAGATTCCAGTCGGATGCGTCTCACACTTGGACGACCCTTCTGAAGCAAATTCCATCAAAAGATGCTGAGAAACCATATATGATGGCTCATGGTCTAGTTTTACACAATTCCTCAAGGTCATTTTAGGTGGAATTCATGTCGCACACCACCTTTGGATTTGCACCAAACATGTTGGAAAGATCTTGAATATTCCTTTTGTAGTATGTCGAATTTGGTTTTTGCTGGCGAGGGCTTAACTGGCCCCTGTTTTCTATGAATTTTCTGTACATGTTGTATGCTGTTTGGATGTTGCATGATCCCACACTAGTGTTGCATGCTTTCAGATCCCACACTAAAATCTTTACTTGTTAAACACGCATATGTTCGTTTCTTGAAAACAATCGAAGGGCTTCGGTGTTTTGATGGGTGGGGTGGGTGGCGGGCAGTAACGTTCGTTGGACTGACAACAGGAGTTTCGCAGTTTTTGTTCGAATGTCAGAGGATGACCCCCTGGTTTTTGTCTCTTGTGTTGCTTTTGCTCATTCGTTTGTCTGGTCCTTCTTTCTCGTTTTAGAGCCGCCCAGGCACACTCGATGCTCTGTGGAAATGTTTGAAAGAGCAAGTTCGATCGTTGCAATCGTGCACGAAGAACAAGAAAATGAACCCTTTGCTTCTCCACTATATTCGGCAATTCCAATGGCGATACGTGCAAAAAAAAGGAAAGGAAACTTGCTCAAAAGAACAGGGCAAATGTTCAGATGACAAGTGTCGTGTGGCGAGCAAAGAAATTTGAAGAAACATAGCTGATGCCGCCCCTAATCCAACATATTAATATTTTGGCACTCCAAACACAGGTTCGAACGCTTTCATTTCATAAATCCAAAAATATAACAAACAGAGATCCAAAATAAATGATCTGCGATCTGCGCAATGTGTTGGCATTGTCAAATATATTGAATAATGATCTAATAATTTGATCATTTATCCTAAGCCTTTTTAAATCAGATCATTTGCATTTCCTTCACGATTATTTATTGTAAATTACCCGAAAGGGTTAGGTAGAGTTGGGTTTTGGGAATGAAGGATTATGTTAAAATATTTAGGTTGATAGGTAATATTGTTATTTAATAAAATTTTGAATTTGAATATATAATATAATGATAATATATATTTATTTTATTGTATATAGAATTAATAAATAAATAATTAATTAATATATTATTATTATTTTATTATATATGTTTTTATATAAACCCTATTACCCATTAAAATATCGAAATTTTTAAGACGTTTATTTCTTGAAAATTATCGAAGGATTTCGGTGTTTTGATGGGCGGGGGGTGGGTAGGGGAATAATAATATTCGTTGGATTGATAATAGGAATTTCGCAATTTTTATTCGAATGATAGAGGATAATTCTTTGGTTTTGTTTCTTGTATTGCTTTTGGATATTCGTTTGTCTGATGTTTTTTTTCCTCATTTTAGAATCATTTAGATATATTTAATGCTCTATGGAAATATTTGAAAGAGCAAATTCGATCGTTGCAATCGTATACGAAGAATAAGAAAATGAACCTTTGAACGCTTTTATTTTATAAATAAAAGAAAACAAATAAAGATCCAAAATAAATGATCTGCGATTTGCGTAATATTTTGGCATTGAGAAAATATATTAAATAATAATTTAATAATTTGATTATTTATCTTAAGCCTTTTTAAATTAGATCATTTGCATTTCCTTCACGATTATTTATTGTAAATTATCCGAAAGGGTTAGGTAGAATTGGATTCTGGGAATGAAGGATTATATTAAAATATTTAGGTTGATAGGTAATATTGTTATTTAATAAAATTTTGAATTTGAATATATAATATAATAATAATATATATATTTATATTTTTATTTATAGAATTAATAAATAATTAATTAAATAATATTTTGTTGTTATTCTAATATATATAATTTTAAATATTATATGGGTCGATATTTTATAAAAAATATTATATAATTGGAAATAAATATTAGGGTGATAAATTATATATTTTTTGTTTAAATGGAAAAAAACAAAAAAATATATATATAAATTAATAACTTAATATAAATATCGAATTATATATAATTACGATGTAATTTGTTTTGCAAATGTATTTTCGATATATTGTATGATTGATATTGTTTTGTAAATGGATGATGAATTAATATTTAATGGATAGATTATAACTATCGTAATTTTAGATAGAAATTATATTTTTTATAGGAATTTATTTTAAAAGGATTGATATTATTAATTTAATGAATTCTTCGCGATAATGTATCGATTTATGATTTGTTATGATTTTACGAAATAGAATATGTATAAAGGTATAGAACCTTTGGATATGTTTTATATTTCGATTTAAGAAATATATTATCGTATATATGAATTAATTTATTGTAATATTTGTTTTATTAATATATATAAATATAAATTAACATATTGTATATATTTTATGATTAATTAGATATTTAATTTATTATTTATTTCGATTATTATATACCTGACCATTGGGTTTATGAAATAATGAACGAATATGTATTGTATGACACGGTTTGGATTTAGATAATTATTATTGATTAAATATTGTGTAATATAGTTTCGTTCGAACCTTTTTATGAATTGGATTTTTTGTGTCGTATATCTTTATTGTTCTGGTATCGGGAGATTTGGAAATGATAACGAATAATTAATTCTATATAGATTTGATGGCAATTTATGGAAATCATTTCCTGAAAAGACCTCGAATAAATTCCCCATCTATTAGGCGCAAAACATATGGCTGGAAATAATCCAGGAAATATTTAAGTTCTTCGGACACCAAATCCACTAATTCTGGCAAATCCGACGAGTTGATCTAGATGGTGGCTCGCCTGTAATGGTGGTTCGCCTGTAATGGATTATTGCTTCTTGTGGTTTGCCCCATATGGTCGGAGCAATTTGATGCCGTTAATGCTGGAGATCTCCAAACAATGGAACTAGGAGAAAGAAATAGGCTGGCGAAATGAAGTAGTCGCTCCGACAGATTCGTTTTTAGACCTTCATCCAGGAATTGATTACACGTATTGGGATTAAATTCGATCAAAAAGATGACGATGTGATGAACACATTGATACCAATATTTGACCTGGGATGTAAAGGTTCAGATTCTTCGACCGACCAAATAGGTGCCGATCTGCTCTCAGGAGTTATACCAGATCCTGCAAAGGATTTAGAGCTTGAGCCTCAATCCACAGCTTGTGCACCATTTTGCAGCGCTGAAATAATTGAAGCAGGACATCTTACCTCAGGAGGCCACCACCGCAATACCTTGGAAATTCGAAATCTCATTCAGATCCGACGAGGCCAACGAGTTGTACGGCCATATCCAACGGTTGGTGGGGAACGGAATCATTCTGCTTCGAATTTGGTTTGCTTCTCACCACCCCCTGGTACAATATGATGTTGGGGAATTTGCAGGATGGCTCAGGGGTACCGTCTTTGAAAAATTATTTCGTTTCGATTCGATCCCCTTTCCTGGCTGGGAGGCTCGTCTGGCCCTGAACATTGAAGATTGAGGTATTGCCATAATCCTTATAGTCTTTCGAAACCTCCCGCTTGAATATGCCACATTGCAATCCCTGATCGAAGCATGGCATCGCAATGCCCCATTCACGACAATTTTTTATTCGGCATATCCGCACCTTTGCATTCAATTTGAACGGTAAAATGCACTAGGCTATAAGAATATAAATATGTTGTTACATGGACACACACTCAGGTCACACTGCCGATTTTCACCACTTCGTCTGGAGTGACCGTGAACTGGGAACCATATAATGTGGTTGCAGGTGTTGTTCTCCTCGGCGGTCCCACTGAGGGTCATTGTCGTGCAATATATTTTCATTTAGGTACCCAATTAATAACAGATGATTTTGCATTGCCCCACCACATGCCAAGGACTGATGAATTTTGTTGTAATATCTATCTTCTTTGATTGGTCCCAATTGTGCAATGTAGTCACCATTGGCGACGATCCTTGCCATCAATTGCACCCTGTGATCGTTTCAGCCATTGCGCACCGATTGGCCAATTGATTGTAAGCCTTATTTTGGAACAATATATTCAGATTTGCCATAGATAGAGGCCATAGCTGCTCCCTGAAGATGCGGATAAATCTTATTATATATCAATTAATGAAATGCTAATATATCGAAGATAAGAATTCATTTCAAAAAATCATTATTTGCAAGGTCATGAGAGCTTGGAGGCCATGAGGCTTGAAGGGCCTGAAGCATCTGGACGCCCTTCGCGGCTCAACCAGTTGAGAGCCCCGCATGTGGCCCTTGCCATGCTCACCTCTTCCGGCGTTGCAGGCTCTTTCTTTTGGCTTTTGCGCCCTTTCTCCAAGTCCATTGGGTGCAGTCGCTCCTCGACGAACTTCTGCATGTCCACCAGGTAGCCGCCGTCTGGCAGTTGTCGGATGCGTCGGCCGTTGAAAGCGCACCCGTCCTTCTCTTCTCTCAAGGCCACGTACTTGCCAAAGGTGTACTTGGCGCGCAACTGCTTCATCTTCTCATGGTGTTCTTGGTGTCCTACAGCGAAC